AGGGGGCTGGTTAAGTCAACTCACATTTCACCACCACATGGATGAGTGTCGGCAGCGGCTACTTCGGCTTTCTTGCCCAGCTTAGCCCAATATTTTTAGGTTTTGTCCATGTTGTAACATTTCTACAGAATTTCCTTTCTATTCAAAGATGAGTAACGGAAATGCTCTATTTCATGGATTTATATGTAAAAAAGTTTTATTTACTTATCCAGAGAGGAACACGTAGCTTTTTTTTTTTTTAAGATGTATTTCTTTTGGGCCCAATGTGATAACCTAGTGGCTAAAGTCCTCATCTTGCATGTGCTGGGATCCCACACGGGTGCCGATTCATTTCCCAGCTGCTCCACTTCCCATCCAGCTCCCTGATTGTGGCCTGGAAAAGCAGTAGAGGACAGCCCAAAGCCGTGGGACCTTGCACCCATGTGGGAGACTCAGAAAAAGTTTCTGGCTCCTGGCTTTGGATCAGCTCACCTCCAGCCATTGCAGCCATTTGGGGGATGAACCAACAGATAGAGGATTTTCTGTCTCCTTCTCTCGGTAAATCTGACCACATCAGTAGGGAGCTGGATCAGATTGAAGCAGTCAGGTTTTAAATTGGTGCCCATATGAAAGGTCAGCATTGCAGACAACAGCCTTAGCCACTGTGCCACAATGCTGGTCCCTTGTTTTTATTATAGCTGCCCTAGTTGGTCGTGACTTGGATTACATCTTCCTATTGGTTAGACATGCTGGGCCTCTTATCAAGCGCTTACTGAGCATGTTTATACTTCTTTGGAGAAATTTCAGTCGTGTGCCAGCAGGTAAAAATCTGTAACAAACAAGACTAAGAGGTGCCAGCATGTGGCACAGCAGGCAAATCTTCCACGCTGTGAAGCCAGCATCCTAAATGGGTGTTAGTTCACGTCCTAGCTGCTCTTCTTCCCATCCAGTTCCCTACAAATGGCCTGGGAAAACAGTGGAGGAGGGTCCCGAGCCTTGGGCCCTGCGTCCACGTGGACAACCCAGAAAAGGAAGCCCCTGCTCTCAGTTTCAGACCAGCTCAGCTCTGGCCTTTTTGGCCATTTGAATAGTGAACAAGTGGAGGGAAGATTTTCTCTATCTCTCCCATCTCTCAGTAAAATATGTTTATCAAAAATAAACAAATCTTAAAAGAAAAAAAAAAGAACTGAGAGCAGCTGAAAGAATGAGAGCACACATGGGCCCAGCAAGATGCTTAATTGGCTAATTTTCCACTTGAATTGCCAGGATCCCACATGGACACCAGTTCTGTCCCAGCTGCTCCACTTCCCATACAACTCCCTGTTTATGGACTGGGAAAGCAGTAGAAGATGGCCCAAAGCCTTGGAACCCTGCACCTACATGGGAGACCTGGAAGAGGCTCCTGGCTTTAGATTGGCTCAGGTCCAGCCATTATGGCTGTTTGGGGATGAACCAGTGGCCAGAAGACCTTTCTGTATCTCCTTCTTTCTATAAGTCTGCCTTTCCAATAAAAAAAGAAATGAAAACACATAAACGAAATATTTTACCTGCAGGGACCAGGAAGCTAGAGGCTGAGGAGCACAAGAGCCATGAGCCAGCACAATGTGTCAAATTTATCAATCAGATACAGAATTCTGTCACGTAGGCTCAGTTAGACTAGAGCTAATGTGGAGAACATCCGACAGTAACCTTGTACACTATGTCGAGGATACAAGAGCCATCTTCAATTTGCATAGAGATTTCCAGCTCTGCTCCTCAGATCCTGGACCACTGATGCATATTCAAGGAGATGCCAGGCTGCCTGATGACTAAGTCACGATGCTCTCGATCAAATAACTGTACCTGCTCCACATGATCGGCCGTGCAAACAGGGGCCTTGACGCTGTGCCAGCTGCTGGCGTGCCGCAGCGTCTCACTGGAATCACACTCTGCTCGTCAGTCTTTAGTGAAAGGTGGCGTGCCGACGCCTCCTGAATGCTTCTTCTGGAAACTCCCCAGAGGGAGGAAAGCACAAATGCAGTGATTAACCTTGGCTCACACCGGGCAGTATCAGCTTCACAGGGGCTTAATCAAAAAGACCCAACAAACGTCTTCAAATATTTCTCCATTTTTGACTTGGTTTTGTTGTTTTTGTCTTTATTTTTTAATTTGAAAGGTTGCGCTACAGAAAGAGGAGACACACAGAAAGAGAAATCTTCCATACACTGGTTCACTTCCCAAATGGCCTCAACAGCTGGAACTGAGCCAATGTGAAACTAAAAACCAGGAGCTTCTTCCGGATCTCCCATGTGGGTGCAGAGTCCCAGGGCTTTGAGCTGTCCTCTACTGTTTTCCCAGGCCACAAGCAGGGGAAGTGGAGCAGCTGGGACACAAAGCAGCACCCATAGGGAGTGCTGGATTACCCAACTGAGCCATCGCGCCAGGCCCAGCTTTATCATTGGACCTTTGAAATCAGTGTGAAGTCTCCAAGGTTCTTTATTTTCAAGATGGGCCTAGGTGTTCCAGGTTCTCTTTCTTTCCTCATGAATGTTCAAATGGATTTTTCGGTTTTCCATTACTTATTTCCTTGGAGAGATAGAGACAGAGAAACAGCTCCCATTTTCCTAGTTAGTCCCCAGTGCCTACAACAGCAGGCTGAAGCAGGAAGTCAGGAACTTCATCCAGATCTCCCCTTGGGTGCCAGGGATCCAGCTCCTGGAGACGTCACATCAGCAGGGAGCTGGAATGGGAATGAGGGCTGGGACCGCAACCCAGGCCATCCACGATGGGATGCAGGTGTGCCAGGCAGTGTTTATCCACTGGGTCACCTGCCCACCCCTCTCTTTAACTGTGTTGCTTAAATATTGATTTTTAGAGGCAGAGAGAGCAGGAGAGACAAAGAGCTCCCATGTGATCACTCCCAAGATGCCCATAGAGGCTCCAGTTCAGGCCAGGTATTGGAGTTGGGAACTCAACCCAGATCTCCTATGGGGTGACAGGCACCCAGCCACTCGAGCCATCACCACTGCCTCCCAGGGTCTGCATGAGCAGGAAGATGGACTCGGAAGCTGGAGTCAGGAATGCAAGCAGGACGACACAGGATGCAGGTGTTCTATTGCAGCCCAGCTGTGCTCGCTTGCGGTGGTAGACACTGGAGCAACACCAAGTTTTTCAGATCATGAACTCTGGAGTCATCTACTTAGGTCTCCTTGAAGCTCTTTTAGCAATGGTCGGTAGCTCTGAAAGTCACAGGGCTTCCTACACCAAGCTGACACCCTGGGCCTCAGGTCAGTGCATCTGCTGCGGATGGGACGATCCATGCGTAGCGCTCAGTGTGACTGCAGAGGAAACTGCCAGTGCTGGCAAAGCGCAATAAAATGCTTCCCTCTGGTTCTCCCCTTGGGTCAAATCTGAGTCCCTTGGAGGCAAACAGGGCGCTGTCCCTACCTGTCCGGAGACTACCAAGGACACTGGACACGGCAGTACGACCGCTGGATCTCACCCGGCAGCCACCATAGCTGCTGATACAACAGGAATTTCATCAGATCTCTGCTCTCAGCATCTCCAAAACGCTGCTGTCAGGCACGCTCAGGCACGCTGAGGTGCCGGCAGCAGGCGCTCGGAGCCTGAGATCCATGCCCGCCATCCCCTCTGGTTAGTGATCTGAGCCCCCGCCCCAACTTCCTTTTTTTTTTTTTTTTCTTGTTTTTCTAAAAGGACGGCTTCCCAAATATTGTTAATTCAGACCACAGTAAAAAAATTCACTTTATATTGCACCTTGGTGGACATTGGAAAAAAAAAATTAAGTTTTGCAAAGCACCACTTGGCTTTGCTACTTTTACACTGCTCATACTGATTATTCCTATTCCATTTATTTAGAAGAGTTGGAACCTATTAAATTGCCATTGTGACCAAGTAGTGACCAACTGTTCACTGAATACAGTTTACAAAACACTGCTCTTAACAGTCGCTTTCTATGCCCTGGGCCTTTGTGTAGGCTCATCTCTCTGTGGCTAGACACCTCCTTGCATCCTCCTTGCTTGGCTAGATCTTACTCATCTTTCAGGATAGGAAATTAAAAGACACTTGCTTTTCTGGAGTTCACTGCCCACTTCCGAATCCTACAGACCATGATGAAAAGTTAAGATATGTGGAGCCGACGTTATAGTACAATGAGTTAAGCTGCTACCTCCAATCCCCTATGGGCATCACTTTAAGCCCCAGCTGCTCCACTTCTGATCCATCTCCTTGCTGATGGCCTGAAAAAAAGAAATGGAAGACGGCTCACCAGTCTTTGGGCCCCTGACAGTGACATGGGAGGCCCAGAGGAAGCTACTGACCCCTGGCTTCGGCCAGGCCCAGCCCTGACTGGGGATTGAACCAGCAAACGGAAGCTCTCTGTGTTTCTCCCTCTCTCTATAACTCTAACTTTCAAATAAATATATAAATATATCTGGTAAAGCTGCTGCTTCTGACACTGGCATCTCAGATGGATGCCAGTTTGAGTCCCTGCCACTCCACTTCTGATCCAGCTCCCTGCTGAAGCGCCTGGGATAATAAGGGAAGATGGCTCAAGTGCTTGGGCTCCTGCACCGGCGGGGGAGACCTGCACAGCTCTCCTGGCTTCTTGCTTCAGACTGGCCCAACTCTTGGCAGTGGGCTATTTGGGGAATGAACAGTGTCTCTGTCTTGGTCTCTTTCTGTAATTCTGCCTTTCAAATAAATAAAATGTTTAAAAGAAAAATTAATACATGCAAAAAAACTAAGAACAGTGAGTGGCAGACAGTGCTTTTTATGAAAGGTAAAAAGCATAAAACCGTGAAATCGTTACTATCTGCCGCGCCACAGGTTTCAGAATCTAAACCCAGGAAGCAAGAGACTTTGCTTAATTTTTGTCGTTCCTAGCGTTTCACTTTGCCTAAAATCAGACTGCCTAATGGAATATAAACAGGCAGGGCTGGAGGTGAGGCGGGGCGTCGCGACCGTAGAGGCCCCGCCCCGGGGGGAGGGGCCAAGCCGCTGGCCATCACGTGGGGCGCGGAGGCGGGGCCTGGGAAGGCTGGGCCAAGATGGCGACAGTGAGGAAGGTTCTGCCGCGGCGACTGGTGGGCTTGGCGACCCTCCGGGCTGTAAGTGCCCCGTCCACCGAGGGGGCGACCCTGCAGGCACCCTGCAGTCAGGGTCGGGGGCTTGGCCCGTGGCGGCCGTGTCTGAGATGCGAAGCTGAACAGCCTCGGGAGAGCCTTGACTCTCTGGCTCCCCCAGGTCCCTGAAGGGCTACTGGTGGCCCCGAGAGGTGCAGCGGGGTCGTGGAGAGCTGGGACACCATCCCGGGCGTCCTGATTGCCCGTGCAGGGCCCTTCCAGCGCCCCGGGCTCTTTTCTCGCTCTGAGCGTCAGACCTGTCACCTCTGCCCCAGTGAAAACTACCAACACTTGCAATTAGGCTTGCTAAAGTGACCCTGTCCCTCGTGTCCACTTCCAGCTGTTGTTGCTTTAGGGCCGCTGGGGAGCTATTGCTGCTTACTGAGCTGAACTTGGGGTGCCTGGGGTCAGGCTGGGACTCCCCTGGGATGGATCCTGAAGTTCTCCCCTCCTCCACACAGGGAGTGGAGTGGGGGACACCCCCATGAGTAAAAGTTCCAACCGTGGTGTCCCCACGTTGGCCACCAGCTCTGCTGAGCAATGTTGTGATTGACTGCCTCACCCTAAGGGCTTTTGTGTGTGTGTGTGTAAGAATATTTATTTTTGGACCAGGCAGCGTGGCCTAGCAGCTAAAGTCCTCGCCTTGAACGCGCCAGGATCCCATTTGGGCTCTGGTTCTAATCCCAGCAGCTCCACTTCCCATCCAACTCCCTGCTTGTGGTCTGGTAAAGTGGTGGAGATGGCCCAGTGCCTTGGGACCCTGCACCTGTGTGGGAGACTTAGAGGAGCTTCCTGGCTCCTGGCTTTGGATCGGCGCAGCACCAGCTGTTGTGCTCACTTGGGAAGTGAATCATCTGATGGAAGATCTTCCTCTCTGTCTCTCTTCCTCTCTGTATATCCGCCTTTCCAATAAAAGTAAATAAATCTTTAAAAGAAAAGAATATTTTTATTGGAAAGTCAGATTTATAGAGAGAAGGAGAAACAGATCTTCCACATGCTGCCTCATTCCCCAAGTGACTGCAATGGGGGAGGGGAGTTGAGCCAATTTGAAGCCAGGCGCTTTTTCCAGGTCTCCCATGTTGGGTGCAGGGTCCTAAGGCCTTGGGACATCCTCCGCTGCCTTCCCAGGTCACAAGCAGGGAGCTGGATGGGAGTGAAGCAACTGGGACATGAACCAGCTCTTGAATGGGATCCTAGTGCTTGAAGGTGGATTAGCCAGTTGAGCCAAGGCGCCAGCCTCAGCCTCGGTTTTCTTGTCCATGAAATGGGTGGCTTTACCTCAGGATAGAAGAAATGCGGGGAAAGCTTTCAGTGGTTATTGTGGCTCCTCATAAGGAAGCAATGAAGCCTGTGGTTGAAGTTTTACCTGACAGGGTTTAGGCTGTAACTGTACTGTGGGAAGAATCACAGTCCTGGCAGTGGTCCCTCAGCGAACTCCTACACGTCCTTAAAGACAAGGATGCCCATTCCAGTTGGGGAGGGGTAGAAAATCTGCAGGCAGATGGTGGATACCAAGGGTCTGGAAAGAGAAAACCCAGGGTAATTGCGTGAGGCGTGGTCTTCTGTGAGCTTGCTAACTCAAGTTCAAGGTCAGAAGCAGACAGGGTCCCAGGCCATGCTTTGTTCCTTTCTAGCTGTGTGGCTGGAAATGCGCTTTGCCAGGCTCATTGATGGGAGCCGCCATCAGGCACCAGTGTTCGTGGGTGTTAAATCGGCCATGGCTGTTGATGGTGGTGCCGCACAGTCGGGCATACTATGGGCAGAGAGGGTCATCCCTGGGCAGCCTAAGGGTGGCATGGAGATGGCAGTGACCACAGGGCCAGGGGCCTGTGCCATTGAGCCACCCTGCCAGGGCCACGTCCCATGCCAGGGCCTAGCCATGCGATGGGAAGCCCCCTCTAAGGCTCAGATTGCTGCCTGGCTGGAATTCCTGGAAGTTTTTAGGACTCTTGGGGGCCTCAGCGGGTGACACAGGTTACGTAGAAGCTGCTGTGGGTCGCTGTACAAAAGCCCCGCTGGCAGATGTGGAGTGCTTAATGAGTAAGAGCTCCTGTGGGGCTGAAGGTAGAACTGACTTTATTCTGACCTAGTCTGTCCCAGGGTCTTGGACTCTGTAGACAGAGCAAGGGAGCCACTCACACTGCAGCGGGCACCAGAGAAGCAGAGGCAGGCATCCCTGCCGGAGATGCTCTTCCCGCATAGCCTGGCCCTTCCCGACGCTCAGCGGGTTACACCCTAGCCAGCACCCAGGAAGCTTTGCAAGCTAAACCCAGGCCACTCCAGGGAGCTGTTCACGTTCTGTCTGGAGGGTGGCCGGGCCTCCTGCAGGTCTGCAGGGGTTCTGCTCCCTCCTCTTAGCCCACTGCGGTGTGTTCATCCTGGTGCAATCGTGTAGAGCAAAACCAGGCTTTGTCGTGGTAAGAAGCGCAGGGGAAAGAAGGGATGGGATTGTCACATTTCCTGGGCAGGGGGGATGCAGGGAAGCTTGGGGCCAATTTTACACAAGGAAGCTCCTCTGCTCTGTTGTCTCTTCAGGGTGTCCTCTCTCCTCAGCCCCATTGCTGTGTTTGCCTGGCCTTTCCCCAGAACCCCACCCCAATCCTCCCTGTAACTTCAATAAACCTGTGCTGAGCTCAGTACCCAAGGCTAGGAGGTGAAGTGCAGGTCACTGATAGACCGAGTTCCTCCTGGAGCAGAATTCTACCAGAAGCAGGTTACTGGCAGTGCTCTGAGTCTTGGAGTGGGGTTGGGAGAAGGCCAGGAGGGGCTGCATGGCCCACGGGTTTGAGGGGGTGGGGCCTCTCTAGGACCGAAAGAGATGTGAGAAGAGCCTGCTGGATAAGGGGAAGCCCTGGGTGGGAGAGGCAGCCAGTGGGTCTGGGGCATGGCACCCTCCAAGGCAGAGGGCAACAGTAGAGAGACCTAATGAATTCAGCTAGGTCTGCGGGAGCACCACCATCTGGTGCCCAGGCCGCAGGAAAGAGGTAAGCAGCAGGTGGTGGTGATGGAGGGAGTGCAGGTGCAGAGTTGTGTATGTATGCTCTGGGTCCCCAGAGCATGACTCACTGGTTCCTGTTTCTGTGGTGTCATCACCAAATGGGCATTGGCCACTGAGGAATGTGGCTTCTGGTCTCCAGGTCAGAGAGGGTGAACCGCCCCTGCTCCCGCCTTGCCCCAGGGAGAGGCCGGGGTTGTGACAATCACTCTGTTTGCTCTTTTAAATCAAAGGTCAGCACATCGTCTGTGGGCACGCTCCCCAAACAGGTGAAAATTGTGGAAGTTGGTCCCCGAGATGGACTACAAAATGAAAAGGTAAAGATGGACATGAACCAAACCTGACATCTCCAGTCAGAGACATGACAAGGTTGGATCAGACACCATGAGCTTTTTGTGAAATGCAGAATTGTGTAGCCATTAGCAATACTGGAGTTGATCAAGTGACATGAGCAAGTTATAAAATAATAGATATTTTCAAAACCTTACACTTTTGTGCACAGAACTAAAACTTGTATGTGTGACACAAGAAACTTGTTCCATGGAACTTGCTGAGAAGATGGGAAGGTGTTCTGGGTGTAAATATTCTAGAATGTTCTTGCATGGCAGCCACTAAACACATGCAGCTCTTGAGCCCTCAAAGTATGGCTTGGGTGGGCATTTGGGTAGGTGGCTAAGCTGCCCATGCCCCATACCCCAGGTGCCTTCCTGACCACAGTGCCCTTCTGCTACCACCCACCTGGGAGACCTGGGTTGAGTTCCTGGCTCTCGGCATCAACCCCCTAGCTACTGTGGGCATTCAGGAAGTGAACCAACACATGGGAGTTCTCTCTGTCTCAGTCAGAGGGAACTGACTTTGGCTGTTAATGTAACTTCTGTGACCAAAGGTAGCTGGCTAGTGGCTAGCGTATTGGACCGCACAGTTGTGGAGAGTTACCTACTGGGCTGTTAATAGGACCACCTCTGGGACTAAGGGGAGTTTTTGTCCCAAGTGTATGTTTCTGAAATGTCATACTGATTATTTTCTCGGTGAGAGGAACTTGTCTCTTTAAGGCAGGACCAGCGTAGCTGTCACAGGGAGTGCCTGTGGGAAATACCAGCTGGCAGCCCCAGGAGGTTGGAGTTGTGTGACCAGGAACGGGAGGACTTTCCCAAGTCATCTGTTGAATGGATCCAGTGAATGCAGAGAGGCAGACGTTAGAGAGGGCAGGCGACAGAGCCGGGGTGAACCTGGAGTCTCTGGGATCTTTAACCTAAGCCTGAAGCACTAGGGAGCCACAGGTTTTTGAGCAAGACAGTAGGACAGTGGAAGGCGAAGCTGTGATACTTTGGGCTTCCTCTCCCGTAGTCATTTCTGTGCTTTGGGGTCTAGGCTCATTGCTCTCGAGTTGTTGATGGGATCACGAGCTGCACATTAATCAGAGAAAAGTCAGTGTGGTGCGGAAGTAACCATGTCCTTGAGATACTAACTCCTTGTCAGGTGCCAGACCATCGCCTGCAGGCCCCGCAGCCAGCCCTGTCGCCCGCCCACAAGCAGGGGGCACCTGTGGTTTCTAGGAGCCTTTGGGAGCCGCCGTGACAGTGGGCTGCCGGGCACTGACACCTGTAGCCGTGTGATCGCCATCCTGTGCCTCTTGTCTCTGCAGAATGTGGTCCCCACGGCCGTGAAGATCAAGCTGATAGACATGCTGTCTGAAGCAGGGCTGCCCGTGATAGAAGCCACCAGCTTCGTGTCTCCTAAGTGGGTGCCCCAGGTGAGCCCCAGCCCCAGAGAGAGGCCCTCCCTGGGACCAGATGGAGCAAGTTACATGCTTGTCCTCCAGCAGGTGGGAGTAGGGAACCCGGGCGTCCCGGCCACTGGCTGAGAGTGAGTTTTGATGTTTCTGATGACTTTGCTGAGCCAGGCTCGCCGTCTCATGGCGTGGTCAGGCAGGGAGGAAGCCCCACTTCGGAAGGAGTGCTGGGCTCCCGGAGGGCAGCCCACTGCCTGACTCAGAACGGGCTGGGTTCATGGCCGGTTGGCTACAGGGTGATCCCCCAGACCCAAGCACACACTCCCTCCTCGTGTGAGGAGAGTTCCCAGCCTGCTCGTGGTGGTGACTTGCAATGTGTGTCTCTTGGCTCCCAGATGGCTGACCACACTGAAGTCTTACGGGGCATCCAGAAGTTTCCTGGCCGCAGTTACCCAGTCCTGACCCCGAATTTGAAAGGCTTTGAGTCAGCGGTAAGAAACCAGCTTGGTGGGGGACTGGGGGACTCTGGACATGAGCCGGGTGACACTGGCCCCGGCCTGTCGTGGGATCTGTAGTGGTGATGGGCACTCCTTGGCTCAGGACAGCCTTGGTCCTGCTCTCACCTCTCCATGATCGCCACGAGTTCTTGACCTCTCTGAGTCGCAGGCTCCACTCTGAAGTGAAACAAATGTGAGTACCTGGTTAGGAGGACTCGGGAAGACAGAGTGTGCACCGCTCGGATGTCAGCACCCCGGGATTGCCTGCTTTCCAGAGGGTCCAAGCTCTTGGGCAGGCTTGCTTTTTTCGTTTTTTTTTGTTGTTGTTGTTTTTTGTTTTTTGTTTTTTGTTTAAAGATCTATTTATTTGTGTTGGAAACTCAGATTTACCAAGAGAAGGAGAGACAGAGAGAAACATCTTCTGTTCACTGATTCACTTCCCAAATAGCTGCCATGGTCAGAGTTGAGCCATTCTGAAGCCAAGAGCCAGGAGCCTCTTCCAGGTCTCCCATGCAGGTACAGGCTCCCAAGGCTTTGGGCCATCCTCTGCTGCTTTCCCAGGCTACAAGCAGGAAGCTGGATGGGAAGTGGGGTAGCCGCCTCCCTTTATCTCCCCGTTTACCCCAGATACAGAAGAAGAAAAAAAAAGAAAAGAGAAAGAGAATGTGGAAGCAATGGTCTTACCCAGTTTCCTGTAGCCCTTGACCTTCTGTGCCCTAACTAACAATGTAAAGATTATCAAAATAAAATAATAATTTAAAATAAAGAAGAAACTGGAGCAGCAGGGACACAAACTGGCGCTCATATAGTGTCCTGACACTTTTAAATGTCTGTTTTCATCTACTTGAAAGATCAAAAAAGAGAGAGAGATTTCTCCTACTAGTTTACTCCCCAAATGCCGACCGTAGCTAAGGTTGGGCCAGATGAAAGCCAGGAGTCTGAAATTCCATCCCAGCTTCCCACATGGGTGGCAGGGTCCCAAGGTCTTGAACCATCATCCGCTTTAGCAGGAAGCTGGATCAGAAGTGGGATAGCCAGGACTTGGAGAAGTCCTGGGCGGGATAGAAGTGTTCAGCAGCTTAGCCCACTGTGCCACAGCCCCCACCTCTGTTATGACTGAGCTATAATTCTCTCTATAGATATCCATTTTCTGGGGCTCCTATGAGAAAGTACTACCTTGAGGGCCACTTAAAGTGATAGTGGTAGGGAGAGGGAATATTATGTCCTTAGAATTATATCTATAAACCACATTGGATCTGTTAGAAACTATTTTTAAAAATTGTAATTTAAAGAATAACTGTGGTTGGTGCCATGATGTGGTAGGCTAAGCCTCTTCCTGCAGCCGACATGCCATGTGGACACGGGCTCGTGCCCTGGTACATCAGTCCGGCTCCTTGCTCACGGCCTGGGAAGGCAGCAAGGGATGCTCAGGTCCTTGGGCCCTGCACTCGTATGCGAGACCCAGAAGGACTGCTGGCTCCTGGCTTTGGATTGGCTCCAGGCCGTTTGGAGAGTAAACCAGCAGATGGAAGATCTCTGTCTCTCCTCTCTGTAACTCTGCCTTTCAAATAAAATTACAGGCTCGGCGTGGTAGCCTAGTCACTAAAGTCCTTGCCTTGCACACGCCGGGATCTCATATGAGCACCAGTTCGTGTCTCAGCAGCCCTGCTTCCCATCCAGCTCCCTGCCTGTGGCCTGGGAAAGCAATCAAGAACAGCCCAAAGCCTTGGAACCTTGCACCCGCATGGGGGACCCAGAAAAAGCTCCTGGCTCCTGGCTTCGGATTAGCTTGGCTGTGGCCATGGCAGCCCTTTGGGGAGTGAACCAACATAGAGATCTTTGTCTCTCCTTCTCTTGGTAAATTTGGCTTTCGAATACAAATAAATAAATGTTAAAGAAAAAAACATGCCAGCTCTGGGCTCTTTCACAGCCTGGGAAATCTCTTCCAGGCCTCCGGCCTGCCTCTGGCGGTGGCAACAGTGACTGTGCTGCTTAGCCTATGGGCCCATCATTGTCCTCCCTGCTCCTCCTCCTGCTGGCCTCCTCCTGTGCCTTTGCAAGTCCCTCCTTTTAAGGACACCAGTCCTCTGGCACCAGCAGCCCGCCCTGCCCCAGCCTGGCCTCACGCTATCTCCTCGCTTCTGCACTGACCCTGTTTCCAGAAAAGGCCGCATCCTGCTGGGGTCAGGACACAGTTCTCTCTGTAACCCTCATCCTAACATTCACTGCGAGACACGTGTCTGCCATCCATGGTGTTGACAGGTGGCTGCCGGTGCCAAGGAAGTGAGCATCTTCGGAGCCGCCTCTGAGCTCTTCACCAAAAAGAACATCAACTGCTCCATTGAGGAGAGTTTCCAGCGGTTTGATGCCATCATGCAGGCAGCTCGGGCAGCCAGTATCCCCGTGCGGGGGTGAGTCAGCACGCCTTGTGCTTTTCTTGCTCCTCGGTGCCCTTCCGGCATGGACCAAGGCCCCAGCTTCAGCCGTCCACCCACTGAGAACCCTATATGCCTCATCTACTTAGCAGGGGCCCCAGAGCCACCCCCCATTTTACAGATGGCAAAACCAAGGCACAGGGAGAGTGAACAGTCCGGAAGGCTGCACCCCTGAGCAGCCAGCCGAGGACGTCCTTCAAGAGGACACGCCTGAGCACCTTGTCCCTGATTCCAAACCTCTCCCTCATCAACCCCACTTGTACTCTGAAGGTGGCTTGGAAGCCCACTACCTTGTGGCCCCTGCCTCCTGTGCCCACCACATGCCAGCCCCCCGGAGCTCCTTTCCACTGCTCCCTGCCGCTGTGTTCTCTGCCACCTCTGGCCCATAGATGCTACCTCAGTGCTCCTGCATCCTTCTTGGGGTCGCTTCGTCTTGTCCTCAGCTGGAGCTGGTGCACTGACCTGTGGCTAAATCCTCGCCACGAGGGCGGAGCCCACATCTCTGCCCGCTCCTGCTGCACCCTGCTCTCAGGCACCCGACCCAGTTCACAGCAGCCATGAGTGGATCCGTGGGAAGGCAGGGGCTCACGTCGCCCCGGCCTCGAGGCCTGTGCGGTTTCCACAGGAGTTTTCCTTACTCGGCAGTGTTTGGTGAATAAGTGGGAGACTTAAAACAGGAAGGTACACAGAGATCTTGCTATCTCAAGTGATTGAGGTCGGGGCATTGTAGAACTGCGGCCACTTCAAGTCCTGCCTCCTCCACTTCCAATCCCGCTCCCTGCTAAGGCACCTGCTAAGGCACCTGCGAGGTAGCAGAGGCTGGCCCTAGTGCCTGGGCTCCTGCCCCCACGTGGGAGACCTGGGGACAGCTCCTGGCTCCAAGCCCAGCCCAGTCCTTCCTGAAGACAGTTAAGGAGTGAACCAGTGGCTGGAAGATCTCCCTGTCTCCCTCTCTCTTTCTGTCATTCTTTTCACATAAATCTTTAGGAAAACTATTTATGCAGAAAACATTTGTTACGTCTTTTATTTATAAAGATTTATTTATTTATTTATTTATTTATTTATTTATTGGAAAGTCAGGTATACCAAGAGGAGGAGAGACAGAGGGGAAGATCTGTCCACTGGTTGTTACTCCCCAAGTAGCCGCAACAACTGGATCCAAAGCCAGGTGCCAGGAGCCCTGTCTGGGTCTCCCACATGGCTGTAGGGTCCCAAGACTTAGGGCTGTCCTCCACTGCTTTCCCAGGCCACGAGCAGGGAGCTGGAGAGGAAGTGGGGCCACCGGATACCAACTGGTGCCCATATGGGATGCCAGTGCATGCAAGGCAAGGACTTTAGCCACTAGGCTACTGCAGTGGACCCACTATGACTGTTTTTTAAAAACTATTCGTTTATTTGAAAGATAGAATGAGTGGGAGAAAAAAAAAGAAAGAGCTAGATCTTCATCCGTTGGTTCATTCTGCAAAGGGATGCGACAGCAGGGCGGCCTAACCCACTGGCCACACACTGTCCCCTCCGTGTGTCTTAATCAGCAGTGCTTGACTGTCACAGGTTTTAACACTTCAGCTGTAGAGGGGCCAGCTGGGCACTGGCCATCTCCATCCAAGACCCAGATAACCCCAAGAGCCGTGAGGAGCTGTGCCCTCCACTCCTCTGCTCCATGGCCTCCAGCCTCTGCTCTCTGTCCCTGGCTGGGTGCTGCCGCCTCTGCCCCGGGGCTCCCTGCTCTGGCTGGGTGCTGCTGCCTCTGCCCCAGGGCTCCCTGTCCCTGGCTGGGTGCTGCTGCCTCTGCCCCAGGGCTCCCTGTCCCTGGCTGGGTGCTGCCGCCTCTGCCCCGGGGCTCCCTGCCCTGGCTGGGTGCTGCCACCTCTGCCCTGGGGCTCCCTGCCCTGGCTGGGTGCTGTCACCTCTGCCCCAGGGCTCCCTCACCCTGGCTGGGTGCTGCCGCCTCTGCCCCAGGGCTCCCTGTCCCTGGCTGGGTGCTGCTGCCTCTGCCCCGGGGCTCCCTGCCCTGGCTGGGTGCTGCCGCCTCTGTCCGGGGCACACTCTCACTGGTCTTCCCCTTCCTGCAGTCCCCCTGGGAGGGCTTCCAGGGATACTGCACTTGGAGTATCCAAGCTGCACTTGGCCTCTTGCTGCGCCCACCACAGCACCCTTTCCTCCCTCAGAGCCTAGTCACTGTCCATGATCGTCCTGCCTTCTTCTTTCATTGCCTTTCTGTCTGGGAAGCCTTGTCCCAGCTCAGTGGCACATGAGTGGCTGGTCAGGAGTGGCAGAGGACAGCGTGAGCACCAGGTTGTCTGCCAACCCTGCAGCTACTGACCCTGTGGCCCTCCATCTACTGGGTCCGTGCTTGGCCCTGCAGTCTCCTCCCGCCCTCTGTCTCCTGAGGTTGGGGCCAGCCCCCTAGCTTAGGGCTGCATGCCCTCACCCCTCTGCGGGTCAGGTGCCCACTGGTTCTAGCTTCTCTGCTTGGAAACTGCAGCTCCTCCTATAAGAAGTAGCCTGTGAGCCCTGCCAGGGTCTCTACCGCTCCCTCGTGGCACCAGGTCGCCACTGCCTTTGTTCCCTCAGCACCTCCCTGAGCCAGCCTGGGGTTCAGCCCTTGGCCTCCAGCCAGCCTTCGGGTTCTGAATCCAGGCTGGCCAAGCATGTATGTGTCCATCAGCCACCCTGCCTGTGCCCTACTGGCCGAAGAGCCCAGGGCACTGATGGCCTTCTTGCTCTGTGTTCCTGCAGGTATGTGTCCTGTGTGCTGGGATGCCCCTACGAAGGGAAGGTCTCCCCGGCTAAAGTGGCTGAGGTGTGTGTTGGGTGGGGCTCTTGTGGGGCAGGGGGTCGGAGTGGACTTCCTCACCTGCCCTCAACACATGCATTGTTCTCGTGCTGTCTTCTGCTAGGTCACAATTTCATTCATTTGCCCAGTGCCTTCCTGGTGCAGGTGGCTTCTGAATGCTTAAGTGTTTGTACTAAAAATCTGTAGCCAGTGTGCCAGCCCTGGCACTGCATGGATCTTACCAGCCAGGACAGAACTGCCCAGTCCAGCCCCGGGTGTGACCGGTGGGTGAGGTGTGAGAGGAGGCTGTGGGAGGGATGTTGGTGAGTGGGTCGTGGGCGTGGCTGGTTCTCTGCCCTACACCCACAGTCTCAGGGTTCCTGGGATGAGACTCATGATTGCCACGCTCAGGTGTGGGAGCCTGTGATCCCGTGGGACTCTCATGCCTCGGACAGAGACAGGATCCCTACTCGGCTCCTGAGCCCTGACTGCCGGGCCCTGGGGCCCTCACCCCGGCCTGCTTCCCCAGGTCGCTAAGAAGCTGTACTCAATGGGCTGCTATGAGATCTCCCTGGGGGACACCATCGGCGTGGGCACCCCAGGGGCCATGAAGGACATGCTGTCTGCTGTCACGCACGAGGTGCCGCTGTTTGCCCTGGCTGTCCACTGCCACGACACCTACGGCCAAGCCCTGGCCAACACCTTGGTGGCCTTGCAGGTAACAAAGGCTCGTGCCCATTGCCCCAGAGGGCATGGGGCCAGGGCAGCCTGGTCTCTGCTACTCTCTCAGTGAGCATTCCCTGCTGCTACTGTGCCAGGTCCTGGGCTGGGGGAAGGTGGGGTGCATACAGACATAGTTCCTGTCGTGAGCGTGCATGGCGCCATCTGTGTGTGAGGAGGCTGTGGGGACCCTGCCCTGTGACAGGTGACGCAAAGGGGAACCCCGTGCCAGCTGCATGGGTTGGGGAGGATGTGACGGAAGTAGCCCAGGCAAAGCTTGAAGGACACGAAGGGTTAAGTGGCCAGAAACAGGAGGCAGGCTTGCATTTTAAGTGTGAGGCTGGGTCCCACGGGCATGTGTGTGTGCACACATACCTGCAGTGCACATGGGTGTGGGAGGACCAGGCCAGGAGGTGGCACACGGGCATGCCTTCAATGCCGGCCCCAAAGATGGGACTGCACCTCATCATAGGCTTCTCTTGAGGTTTTATTTTGCAGGGGTGATCCCGAGTGGGGACTGCACACACTGCCAGTCTGAGAGAAAACATCGTTGGTGTCTCACCACAAGCCAGCTGCTTGTGGCGTCAGCCTGTCGTGCCATCGTTAGGGTAGTGAAGCAGACTCCGGCCACCTGTGCACTCTCGCTGTCTCTGTTCTCTCCCAGGGCCCAGAGGGTCGTGGTTCTCCCTGCAGGGAGTCTTTTATTTCCTGTCACCATTTGCTTAGAGATGTGGCTGTGTAGGTTAAGGTGGTCCATTGCTCAGCTTGCTGTGACACCAGCCCCTTTCCAGGCAGGTGAGGGACAGCGGCACATGGAGTGTGACACACTTGCGACACCATCCTCACCCCACCCATTCCTGGACGCTGCCTCTCAGCCCTGCTCAGTCTCTTGGTCCCTAGTGTCCCCACTGTCCTGTGTGCGAGCATCTCTCAGGGGCTCCCAGCAGTCCCGTAAGGATGAGGTCCAGGTGTGCGCCAGATGCTTAACTGTGCACTGACCACAGGAGTGAAACAGCCCAGTTCCAGCCCTCTGGCAACATAAGCACAGCCTGGAGGCCATGTACCCAACCATGCCCTCCTGGGTGCCAGACGCTGTTCCTGGCACTGAGGATTCACCTGCAACCACGGCAGTCTCTGACTTCATGAAGCTGACGCTCTCTCAATGAGAGAGAAACAAATGGTCAAGAAAACAGATGAAAAACGTGTGCTGTGTGCTGTGGAAAAATAAAGCAGACCTGAGAGAGACCTGAAAGAAGTGAGGGAGGGAGCCCTCCCAGGCAGGGAGAGGCAAGCAGGCCAGCCTGGAAGAGCAGGTGCAAAGACCCTGGGGTAGTGTGTGCCAGCTGTGTGCAGGGCAGGAGCACTGGCCAGGGGGAGGGCAGCAGAGGTAAAGGATGTACAAGTGAGATGGCCGTGCAGGGCGTGAGCAGAAAGCTGCCTGTCTGGAGCAGAGGGGATTCCCCCTTTAAAGGGCTGCCTCTGGCTGTTGGTGGCGGTGGGGAGCTGAGGCCGCTCAGGGCAGGGTCAGTGCAGGGCGCGCATGCTGGGGTCTTCAGCATGTATGAGTTAACATGGGAAAGTCAGCAGGGGTGAGTGAGGCAAAGAGCCCTGGCCCGACAGGGTCAGAGGCACACAGGTGGCAGGACAAGCCATGGCCAGCCCAGGCTGACCAGGGTGGGGCCTGGGCACAGCGTGAAGGCACTGACGGGCACCTGCAGACCAAAGACCTGACCTTGGCGTTCGCAGCATGGGGTCTCCATGACCCCCTCTCGAGCTCTCAGCGGACACGGCCTGTTCATGGCTGCGGGTGAGGCTGGCAGGAGATCCGAGGTAGGGACAGCCCTTTTCAGGCATTCTGCCTTGAGTGGAGCCAAGGAATAGGAGGCTGGAGGGTTCCCCAAGGATTTGTAGAAGATGGTGGCCCAGGAGAGGGAGTGACAGTTGGGCGGGGAGACTGGAAAACTGGTCCTCCAGCAGAGACGAGTGGTCTCGCCAGAGAAGGCCAGCCAGGCAGTGTCTGGGACTGCAAGGATGCAGCCTGGGACCCGGATACAGGTGGGACTGGGGCGTGTGACCGTGGGAGCTAATGGGGACACCTCCTTTGGTTGTGTCCACTTCATTTTCGAATGGTGCAGCAGCTGAAAGTGAGGAAGGAGGTAGAGGCCCCAATGGAGAGGAGAAATGAGATCGCCATCTAGTGGAGAAGGAAGTGGCTGCCCGGGAATGGGGCAGGGCTCTGGGGGGCTCCAGGTGACTGCAGGCTTGGGGGACTGGGGTCTGAAATCACAGCAGTGGAGACAGTCAGGTCAGTGGTGTGGGAGGACTTCTGGGAGGAGGTGGCCTCAAGGTGAGTAGGATTTAACTGTGATGAGAGTCAAAGAAAAGAGCCCGGCTGCGAAGGGAACCTGCAGGTGGACGGCAGGCAGTGCTGGGGACTCCCCACTGTAGCCAGGCATGCATGGCCACGGGCTCCCCACACTACATGGAGACTCAGCCAGAGCAGTTGAGGCCAGGGCAGTGGGCTCAAGACTCTGGTCCTGGTGACAGCCGCCTTTCCTCTTCCTTGTTCCCAGATGGGGGTGAGCGTCGTGGATGCCTCCGTGGCCGGGCTTGGAGGCTGCCCCTATGCACAGGGGGCATCTGGGAACTTGGCCACCGAGGACCTGGTCTACATGCTGGCAGGCTTGGGCATTCACACGGTGAGTCCACCTGCCCCCTACTGGCAGCACCTGGGAACTACCCAAAGGACAGAAGGGAAGGGAAGGGAAGGGACCCCGGAGCTTTGTGTTTTTGAGGCAGCAGCAAGGGGTGCAGGAAGCAACAGCGTGAGCATGACGTCCTGGGATCCATGTGAGTTGGATACTTCTGTCCTAGGAGGAGGTGCCAGGGACTGGAGCAAGAACTGAAAGGTGGACTTAGCCCATAGGCCTGAGGGTTTCCCCCATCGTGGGAGGTCAGGGGAGGCGTGGAAGCTGAGTGGCTTCAGGGTTAGCTGTAGCTGGGTTTAACAGCTGAGCCCGTGTTGTGGTGCAGGAGATGCAGCTGCCACCATCCGTGTCACCTGATCCCCTCTCCGTGTGCTAGTTCGATTCCCAGCTGCTCCACTACCCATGCAACTTCCTGACAATGTGCCCAGGCAAGCAGAGGAGGATGGTCCAAGCACATGGGCCCCTGCACCCACCTGGGAGACCCGGCTGGAGTTCTAGGTGCCTCACATCAGGCTGTTCCAACCCTGGCTATAACCATTCAGGGGGAACCAAATAGAAAATCTTTCCCTCTTTTTCTTTCTTCCCTCTCCCTAACTCTGCCTTTCAAATAAAATATTTTCATATTTACCAAGAGAAAGAGAGACAAAGAAAGATCTACTGGTTCATTCCCCAAGTGGACCCAATGACCGGAGCTGAACCAGTCAGGAGCCAGGAGCCTCTTCCAGGTCTCCCACGTGGGTACAGGGTTCCAAAGCTTTGGGCCGTCCTCCACTGCTTTCCCAGGCCACAAGCAGGGAGCTGGATGGGAAGTGGAGAAGCCAAGACACAAACCAATGCTCATATGGGACCCCCATGTGTGCAAGGCTAGTATTTAGCCACTGAACCATAGCGCTGGGCCCAAAGGATCTTTATAAAATAATAAAGTAAAACTTAACCCTGTCATTCGCAGGCCCAAATGATCTAACCCTCTAATCTAAGGAAGGGAATGGTCACGGTGCCCGCCTCACAGGGCTGGCTGGGGACCAAGAAGCTGGACGCATGCTTGCCATGGAGCTAGCCCGTGCCGCTGCAGCCAGATGGGCTAGGGCCAGCAGGCAGGCGTTTCACTCAGGTCTTGCTGGTGCTGTTTTATGCCCACTCCTTGCCACCTCACAGTCTTTATTTCAACATGGCATTTTTCTGATTCTCTACTTGCATTTACTCAAAAGGCAAAGCAGCAGAGAGAGGCTGAGATCTTCCAGCTTCAGACTCACTCCCTAAATACCCACAGCGGCCAGGGCTGAGCAAGCCTAATGCCGGAGCCCAGGTCATCCGGGTCTCCCGTGTGAGGGGCCCGAGCACCTGAGCCATCGTGTGCTGCCTTCCCCGGGCTCATCAGGAGGAAGCTGGGTTGGGAGGCAGAGGCAGGACTCTACCCTGCCCAGTTACGCCATGCCCCCTGCTGCCCCTGGAGTGTCATTTTGACCCCTTTAAGCCAGGCCTGGAGATGGCACCATAAGCCATCATACCAACTGTACATCGCAGATGTAGATGAGGGAAGGGGGAGGCACCCTGGCTGGCTGCCGGCCTTTACCTGGTGTGCCCTGGAAGCCGAGGGCCACTCACAACTCCGGATCTCCTCTAACTTGTCTCCTGAAGGGTGTGAACCTCCAAAAACTCCTGGCAGCGGGTGACTTTATCTGCCAAGCCCTCAACAGGAAAACCAGTTCCAAAGTGGCCCAGGCCACCTGCAAACTCTGAATCCCAGGAACGGACAGAAGCAGGGGTGTGCATGGATAACGCGATGAAATGGCAACGAATCAGAAAAGGAGCGGGTACCTCACAGCCACCTGGAGCCAGGTCTGGGAGTGGGAAGGAGGCTGGAGAGGGCACTGCCTGGCCCCAGGACGGGGAGCAGGAGCGGCCCAGGAGGTGAACTTTGGAAGGCGGGTGGGCCCCCAGCGAGGAAGGACCTTCAGGCCCCAGCTGGGGGGCCCAGGGAGACCCAGCTGCTTAGGGCAAGGGGCAGCAAGATAACCCGTGCTGACAGAGGGGATTTGCCGAAAGGGCTGAGGGCTGAGCTTCTGTGGGGGCACCTACCAACCTCAGCATCTCAATCTCCAGTCTGATCATGATTTTGGATAATTAAAGCCTTAATTTTCCAGAATTTCTCAGTGTAGCCTGTGTGTGCATGTGCGAGTGGACCAGCCCCAGGCCGTGGTGGTGCTGACGGAGACTGTGCACCCCCCAACCCCTGCTTCTCAGGATTTCCTCTTGTCCCTGGCACAGACACTGGAAATCTCTGGCTCCGGGGCTGGCTAGGGACGCTGCCCGCAGGGGCAGTTTCTCGGGCCTCTCCTGGGGAGCCAGTGTTTTGCCTAAATCGAGATTCCCAGAAATCACCAGGAGTCTGAAGTCGATCCAAGTGCACAAGGATGGTTTATTCAAGCTCAGCACATCCGAGCCTGGGTTCTTGATTGAGAGCAGGCAGCTGGAAGACCAACCTGGACCAACACCGCTGGTCTGAACAGCACATTCATAGGGTTTGTATAGTGGCAGTCCACAATAGCCTGCAAGGTGAGGGGAAATATCACACATTCCCTACCTATCTCAGCTGGACATGGAGGCCAGCCATGCCTCCAGCAACTAAGGGAAGCACCCACTGAATTACTTGGAGCCACCTGTGAGATAACCAGACTTAGGTGGGCCTTCACTAAAGGTCCCACGGGCCGTTTGGCCTGCACGCTCACGCGGTTTCTCCGTAGCAAAGAGCCGGGATTTTGATCCTGAGGTTCTTCACCAGCTGCCCTGAGGGCGGCAGCAGCGCCTGGCTCCCCTGGGCCCCGGTCCGCACCGACCCCAGGCCTGCCCCGTTAACTGGGCGGCAAAACTCACGCTGCCCCGCCGCGCGAGTCCTTGAAACCGACAAGCCCCTCTCTAGAGAGGCCCCCACGGCCGCTCTCTGCCCACGGCCACGCTCTGCCCACAGCCACGCTCTGCCCACGCCGCCCTGTGCCCACGGCCGCCCTCTGCCCTCGCTGCCCTCTGCCCACGGCCGCTCGCTGCCCTCTGCCCACGGCCGCCCTCTGCCCACGGCCGCTCTCTGCCCACGGCCGCCCTCTGCCCACGGCCGCTCTCTGCCCGGGGGCTGCCCCCTGCCCGGAGCCGCTCTCTGCCCACGGCCGCCCTGGTCAGAGCCTGGCACCGCCCACTTCCGGCCTCCGCCGGAGCCTGCCGCGCGTGCGCCGGAGGCCGCAAAGCCTTCTGTCCGCCCGGAGTCGCCGTAGCCCAAGGGACACGTTTTCTTGGGGGCGTGAAAGGGGGTGGGACCCGGGTTGGCCGCCAGCTCTTAAAGGGGCCGCCGCTCCGGGCGCTGGAGGCGGCGCCTGTGGAGCCAGCGCCGGGCGCGGGACTCTGTGCAGGTTCGGAAGCGGGAGGAAGGGCCGAGCGCGCTCGGGGGTGGCCGCGGTTCCGTGGGCGGCGAGGCGGCGCCGGGAGCGTCCGAGCTGCGCACCAGGCTGAGCTCGGTGTGGCCAGGCCCGCCCCCTGGGCTCCGGGTCCACGCTACCGGGGCGAGGGCGCGCGGGTTCATTCATTCCCGACCCAGGGGCTCTGAGTTCGGCTCCCTCCGAGCCGCGGCGCCCCTTCCCCTCCATTACACAGATCGGGAAAGCTGAGGCGGGTCCGGGGCGCGGTGGACCCCTGATCAGCCTTCCAGGGTCATCCCCAACTGTGACCACCTTCCGTGCTGGACGCAGGGCTGGAGCAGATTCCGACGGGCGGCCAGGGGGAAGGGCTAACTGCGCGGGCAGAGGAGCCTGGCCCCGTCGGCTGATGCCTTCCCCCCTGGCCCCGGTGCCTCCTCCAGCTGTTGGGGGAACTCGGGGGAATAGTGCAGAGGTGGCCGCCCAGAGCCCAGCCCGCAGCGGGCGCTCCCTGGGGTGGGTCGGCGCTGGAGGAGCTGGGGGGGCTCGGCGGCGGCCGGCAATGAAAGGCCCCAGTGTCCGCTCGCTCCAGCTCCGCGCCCTGCCCGCGGTTTGTTCCGGGCGGAGCTGCACACCTGGTGGTGAAGTTCGAGCCAAGTCCACGTCTACACGGCTTAGCCGCTGGCCTGGCCCCACCCACGGGTGAGCCAGGCTGGCCCTGGCCTGGGCAGAAGCTGAAGCAGCCGCAGTTGGGGTGGGGTGGGTGGGGCCCACACACACCGGACCGGCCTGCAGCGCAAGAGCTGATCCTCCCGGAGGTCATCGGGTCTGTTTCCTGCTTCCTGCCAGCCGACCTCGCGGGAAGGGGAGGGTGGAGGTAACATTAGCCCTTCACTCAGCTCTGGGACCTGTTGCCCCCTGCCCGGACGTGGTGGAGGGAAGCGCACACTCCCCACCTGGGTTCCTGGGACCTGTGTGTCCACGTCCTGACCTGCGCCCTGGGCAGTCTGAAGAAGTTCCCGCTGAGCGCTCGCGCTACACACACAAGTACTAGATACAGAGGCAGACGCTAAGGCCAGGGCAGAGCAAGTGGTCGCTGGCAGGGGACAGTGCCCACACTCAAGCCACGGCTGGCTCCAGCCACCTCTTAACCAGGGCTTCCCACCACCCTCCTGCTCTTCAGGTGAGCTCAGGGGCCAGAGTCTCCCCGGAAAGAAGCCCCCTCCAAGCTCCATCCCAGCCAGGCCCGTGGGCGCAATGGGGGAGAAGGTGCTGGTGACAGGTGGCGCAGGCTACATCGGCAGCCACACGGTGCTAGAGCTGCTGGAGGCCGGCTACTCGCCCGTGGTTATCGACAACTTCCACAATGCCATCCGCGGTGAGCCTGGGCAGGCCGGCTGGTGGACTCCCCTGCCCTACCAGGAGGGGTGTGACCAGCCTGACCAGGGCTTCATGGCCTCCCCTGCCCCACCAGGAGGGGACGCCCTGCCCGAGAGCCTGCGGCGGGTCCAGGAGCTGACAGGCCGCCCGGTGGAGTTTGAGGAGATGGACATCCTAGACCAGGCTGCCCTGCAGCGTCTCTTCACGAAGGTGGGTGCCTGGCAGAGAGGCCCGTGGCAGGTCCAGCCAGGGTTGGAGGGTTGGGGGGCGGGGAAGGTAAGCCTGACCCTGCTCTGCCCTGCAGCATAGCTTCGTGGCCGTCATCCACTTCGCGGGGCTCAAGGCCGTGGGCGAGTCGGTGCACAAGCCTCTGGACTACTACAGGGTCAATCTGACCGGGACCATCCAGCTTCTAGAGGTGGGGCCTGGGACGCAGGGCAGGGAGGGGGGCTCTGGGTGGGAGTAGGGGACAGGTCCCCCACCACATTCACGTACTGCAGTAGGGCCTGGGGGCAGAGTCAGATGGGCCCCACACTGTGTCACTCAGACCGCCAGTCTGTTTCCTGTAACCTCGGCCTGGCACAGTGGCATGGACAAAGGGCCACTGACGCCTCCTCGCCTCCGCCAGATCATGAGGCGCTACGGGGTCAAGAACCTGGTGTTTAGCAGCTCAGCCACCGTGTACGGGAACCCCCAGTACCTGCCTCTGGATGAGGCCCACCCCACAGGGGGCTGTACCAACCCCTATGGCAAGTCCAAGTTCTTCATCGAAGAGATGATCCGGGACCTGTGCCGGGCAGACAAGGTGAGGGGCAGCCCCCAGCCTCAGCCCATGTAGTGGGGGACACAGAGGACAGACTGGGACACAGCTGGGCTGAGGCAGTCTCTGGAGTCAGGGGGACCGTCCTGCCCAGCTTGGCCCCCACCATCCAGCCCATATCCCCACAGGCCTGGAACGCGGTGCTGCTGCGCTATTTCAACCCCACAGGGGCCCACGCCTCTGGGTGCATTGGCGAGGACCCCCAGGGCGTCCCCAACAACCTCATGCCCTACGTCTCGCAGGTGAAGTGGGCAGGAATGGGCAGAGGAGGGGGCCAGCAGAGGGTGGGACCTGGAGACCAGAGGGGAGCCGTTCCGTCCTGCGCCTCCAGGTGGCGATCGGGCGCCGGGAGGCCCTCAACGTCTTTGGCAATGACTACGACACGGAGGATGGCACAGGTGAGCCTGGGACACGGAGGCCAGGAGGGAGACGGGCAGGGATGACTTGAGCACCCAACCGGCACCTCCTCTGCAGGCGTCCGGGATTACATCCACGTGGTGGATCTAGCCAAGGGCCACATCGCAGCCTTGAAGAAGCTGAAGGAACAGTGTGGCTGCCGGGTAGGCAGAGGAGCAATGCGGGGTCATGGGTAGAACTCCAACTGATGGCACTGCCCCCCACTCCTGCAGCAGTGAGCCCAGCCCTTCCCCCAATCCTGTCCACTCCCTCTCCTGGGCAGATCTACAACCTGGGCACGGGCACCGGCTACTCAGTGCTGCAGATGGTCCAAGCCATGGAAAAGGCCTCTGGGAAGAAGGTAGGCTCCCAGCCCCCAGCCTCCTTGATCTCCCAGTGCACTGGGACGGGCGAGGCCTAGGGCCAGCTCACCTGAGCTTTGTGCATCTCCTCCCTGGCAGATTCCATACAAGGTGGTGGCACGGCGGGAAGGTGACGTGGCTGCCTGCTATGCCAACCCCAGACTGGCCCATGAGGAGCTGGGCTGGACAGCAGCCTTGGGACTGGACAGGATGTGTGAGTGCTGGCCCAGCCCTGGGAGTGCTGTGAGGGGCGGGTGGGGGCTGGGCAGACCATGGGGACAAAGCCCTGACCGCATGCCTCCCTACTGTCACAGGTGAAGATTTGTGGCGCTGGCAGAAGCAGAATCCTGCAGGCTTTGGTGCCCAGGCCTGAGCCCCCAAACCAGAGAAGAGCACGCACAGCAGCTGCCAGCTCTCCAGCCTCTGGCAGAGAGGCCTGGGCAGCCGAGTCAAGGCCTCCCCTACCTCAGGCCCTGGCTGGGCCGGCTCAGCCCACCGGGAAGGAGGCCATGGGCTCCATGGACCAGGCCCTGGAGTTAGGAGTCTCTCTTACTATCACAGGGTCCAGCAACTTCCAGGACCATTGACAGCAGGGAGGGAGGCTCCAGGACCAACCCCCCACCCTACCCCTGCACCCACACCCCCACCCCAGGTACTAATTTATACTACAGTGAAGGAGCTCTCCCAAGTATTTAAAATAAAAGTTCCCTGACACAGGGCAGCTGGAGCAGGCGGTCACTCTCCACCTCCTCCCAACAGAACCAGCCAGTCCTGAAAGTGGAGGAAGCGGTTTCTTTGATTTTAATCAGAATCCAGGACACAACAAGAAAACACCCAAAACCACAGAGAGACAGACATGAGACGCGGCTCCTCCCCCCCGCCACCTCCCGGCCTCGAGTGGGGGGACAAGGGAGGGAGGGGAGACAGCTGGGGGAGACCTTGAACCCTAGTCCAGCCCAACAGGCTCCAGGCCTGCAGGGGAGAGGGTAACAGGGAGGCAGGGCCCAGCCCCCAAGTGGGGGGGATGGCTGAGGGAGGGAAGGCCCCAAAGGACTCCAACTCCTCACCCACAGGCCCGCCCCACCAGGGGCAGGCCCCCCACAGCAGCAAGGGGCCCCAGGGCCGAGGACACATTCATGACGGAGAAGCATGAGGCAGGAGAGACACGATTATCTGGGCAGAATTGGGGTAGGGGCCTGGGAGGGCCCCACGGGCCAAACCCTGAGGTCACAGGAGGGGGCCCGGGCGGGGCTTGCGAGTGAGGTCCTGAGTGAGTGGGTGGGCGGCTGGGCCCCTGTGATCCTGCTGCCAGGGGGCGCCCATCTGCAGGGCAATGGGACAAGCAAGCATCCCACTCTCTGCCCCAGACAGCCAGCTGTGAGGCCTGCCCCAGCCACCTGCCCCAGAGGCCTGTGGGAAGAGGACAGGTCAGGGAGGGAGTGGACAGGGGCTCGACCGGCTCAGATCCAAGATGGTGCCGCACTTGCTTGCTGTATCCCCTGGCCCAGGTGCTGGGGGCCAGCGGTCAGACAGGAGGCAGCAGCTTCTCCAGAAACTCCTTCACAGCTGCCATCTCCTGGGGAGGGGGGCACAGTGAGGCTCCAGGCTGGAGAGGAGGAGGAGGGACGGGGGGGAAGGGCCACTGACCTGCGGGCAGGAGCTATGCATGACACCTGGGTATGTTTTGAACTGGACCCTGGCAGGAGTGACGACAGACCGCAGCTTCTCAGCTGTCAAGGCCCCAAACCGTACGGGCACCATGGGGTCCAGCTCCCCATGGCACTGAAGGATGGCCAGGTCCTTAGCACTGCCGTTGGCTGCCTGCAGGTCGGACACTGCACTCAGGGCACAGCCAACACGGCGTGACAGTCCTTAAGTCCTTAGGGACACTGCCAGCTGGAGAGGGACTGTGGGCCAGCTCACCTGGGGGAAGGCCCGGTGCAGGGGCAGCCAGCAGCTCAGTGCCACGATGCCAGCCAGAGGGTGGGGACAGGTGAGGGCTGTGTAGAGGGACAGGGCCCCACCCTGGAGGAAGAAGAGAAACAGGTATCAGGAGGGCACCACTCACCCGCCCATCCCCACCAGGCCTGCGCCCCCTCACCTGGGAAAAGCCTCCCAGGACGATCCGATTGGCGGGGATCCCATTCTTCATCTCGTGCTCGATCAAGGCCTTGACTGGGGGGGAAGGGGCATGACTGGGCCACCCTTTCCTGGGGGTGGGGGGTGGGGCACACAGAGAACTTACTGTTTTCCGCTGCCTTCTTGATGCCAGCCTCGTCCTCTGGGGCGTCTGGGCTCAGCCCCATCAGGTCAAACCTGGGAGAGTGGAAGTGTTGGCAGCAGGGGGAAAGCTGTGCCCACCTGCCCCCCCACCCATGCAGCTCCTGAACTCACCAGGAGGGCATCACCATCTTCATGTTGAGGGTCACAGGAATCCTGGGCCTGCAGGGGCAGAGGAGGCCCAGCCTGCTCAGGAGCAGGCAGAGTGGTCCCAGGGGCCCCGCCCCAGCAGGCAGGGCCTGTGTTTGAAGTGTTGCCTGGCAACTGCCACGTGGGGCTGCAGCTGAGGCTGGGGCAGGAGCAAGGGAGAAGCAGAGCCCAACCCGGGTGTGCGGCCTCCAGCAGGGTGGTGAGTACTTGGGGAAGGGGCCCAGGGAAGCCATGCTTCTAGGTGGTCTCAGGTCTGGGAGACCCTAGGGCTGGGGGCTGGTGCTGGATCCCATTCACATGGGCTCCGTAGAATCCAGGGCTACAAACGGCACATCTGAGTGCCGAGTCCCAGGGTGCAGCTGGCGGGCGAGGGCAGCCAGGGACCCCAGGACACACGCCGCCCCTTCCCTGGGGCCCGAATGCTCTCCCAGACCCTCCCCCATTCCCCTTGCTGGGGCGACACTCACGCATGGGGACAGATGTACTTGACATGCGGGAGCCGGATGGTAGAGAGGGCGTCAGCCCAGCTGTGCCTGTGGAAGCAGAGAGAGGGAAGGCGCCGTGTGGGAAGGGGGACGCCTCCAGCCCTGCCCACTGGGCACGGCCCATCTCCCCAGGAAGCAGCCCTTCCCCACAAACTCACCCTGTGTCTCCAAGTCCATGTAAGAAAATGACCTGGAAAAGGATGGGAACCGGGCAGGTAGGGACCAACTCCCCCTCCAGGTCACCGGACTTATTCCCTCCTCCTGCTGTCCCCTGCCACCCCCAAGGACCTGGGGGGACTGAGGTGGCTGCCTAACAAGTCATTAACCTCAGGCCACCCCACACACATCACCACCACCTCCACTTCTCCCACACCCCTCCAACCAGTTCCCAGGCTCTGGTGGGTGAAAAGGGGGCCCTTACCGCGGCCGTTTCCCGCTCAGCTCCAGACACAGTGGCGGCGTCAGTGAGCAGGGGCACAGACATGGTGTTACCGCACATACACTACAGGGCTCCCTGCAGGCTGGGCCTGCCCGAGGAGGGGATGAGGTCAGGAGGCAGGCGCCACCGTCCACCAGCCCCGACAGCATCCAGGTGAGTTTCCCAGGCAGACACAAAGGTTGGCCTGCAGGCCAGCCACCCCACTAGTCCAGAATGTGCCCGAGCTTGCAGGGAGGCTAGCACAAGACGGTAGCCCTGTTGCTGCTGTCCCTCCGGACCCTCCAACCCCATGACGTAGAGGGGAGAAAAGATGCCAAGCCCCCACCTTCTCCAGCCAGCCTACTTTGGCAGTTCTGGCTGTACCATTCCCAGAGCCCCAGAAAGCTGAAGGCGGCCACCTCAAAACTCCACGCCGCCCCCCTACCCCCCGCCTGGCGCTACCTGCTGCTGATGCTGCCACTGGTTCCAACTGTCCAGATCTGGGACTCCCAAACACACACCACAATGTCAAGGCTGGCTGGCCCCTCCCCGCACCCGCCCCACAGCATCCCCAAACTGGCTGCCGCTCCTTGCCTCTTAAGCGCCTCCCCTTGCCAGGACCTGCTGACCCGAGTGCACCTCCCCAAAGTGGGACCTCTGACCTCTGACTGGGGGGCCGAGGGCGAGGGCATTCCCCAGAGGAATGCGCTTCTTGCCCTAGGCGAAGATTCCCTTTCTTCTCCACTGCCGGAACTCCCCTCTCGGAGGGGCGCCTCCCCCCACCACCTCGCCTCCAGCTGCCGTCTCCCTCCCCACAGTAGGAAACTGCGCCCTAACCAACCCCCACAGTGGGCGCGTGTGCCCCGGCCGCGGGCCACCCACCCCCCACGGTGACATGCCTACCCTGCCCACCACGCGGCTTTCACAGAGAAGCCCCCGCCCCACAATGGCAGCCGGCACAAGTCCTTCTGCCCACTCCCGGACGGGCCCCTGCCCAGCCCCGATCCACTCCCGAAGTCCCCCCGCAAGAGTGGACGGCGCCTTCGTCCCTCTCCCCGCCCCCATCCCCGGCGCGCGGCCGCCCCCGCCCGCCCCTGCCGGGCGGACCTCGCCCAGCCCTCCCTCCGCCGCCCGCCCGCCGGGCCGGGGTACCTCTCTCCCCGGGGCTTTCGAGAGGCTCGGGCGAATCCCCTTTCTCCACACAGACACACACTCTTCCCCTCGGCCGCCCCCGCCGGAACTTCCGCTCGAGTCCCGAGAACCCAGCCATCGCACTGCCGGAAGGAACCGGGATGGCGGTACGGAATCCGGAAGCGCCCCGGCTAGGGGCTGCCATGTTGGAGAAGGAGTAGACGAGGCGTCCAGAGTCAAGGTGGGCACTGCCCTCCCGCACGCCCGTGTCGACGTGAAGTGGGGCCCTCCCTTTGGGACACGCTTCTTTCTGGCCTTGGGTGCCACCCGCCGTTTTGTGGGGTGTCTGTGCTTGGTTTTACTGTGGTACTGAGGTGTACTGTAGGATGTTGATACTGTGGCTGCTGACAGCAGGACAAGTGATCACCCATCATCGCACGCCCTCCCCACTGTGGCTGGAATCTCATTTAGCAAACATCCCAAACAGCACTGTTGACTCCAGCCTTCGTGTTGCACATTAGATGTGTCCACCTGGTTGTCATCCTCACCACGGGAGGAATGGATGGCATGCGTTCTGACCTCAAAGGACCTAAGCGCTTGTGTAGTCCTCCAGGCTTACAGATGAGGAAACCAAGGCCGGGCGAAGGTAATAAACAACCACCTCGAGATGACACTGGGATGCTGCTCCTCCTGACCTGTTTCCCGGCCTATAAAATGGTGCTAATAACCACCCTGTCCACAGCTTTGCTGTGAGGCACAAATGAGGCCGTGTGAGCATGCTTTACACATCGTAAAATTCCAGCATGAGCCTTCATCCCTCTGAACAAGACCTTGGGAAAACACAGGCCATGGCAGGACACCTGGCTGGAAGGGGGCCTGCCCTCCAATGCCATCAAATGTGCTCCTGGCATGAGCAAAGGCCATGCTGAAGGAGGATCAGGGGTCAGGGAAGGCCCAGTGGGAGGTAGAGGAGATGGAGGACCATGTCCCTGACAGAATGAGAGGATCCACAAACAGGAAGTGAGTCACACATTCGTCCCTGCCAGCTCAACCTATACTGAGATTTCCTTTGAACTGGAAGAAAACAGACTTAAAAGCTCAACAAATCACTTTCCCCAAGGTCTGGGTGGTTTCAAGGATGCAACAGGCCACAGAATTGAAGCCTAACATACCAGGACTCCAGGCAAGAAGTCTCCAGGCCCAGGGGACCACAGCAAACCAAGGACCAGGCTTTGGTGAGAAGAAAGCAGCATGGCTGCCCCTGCTCCCAGGTCCCCCACTGGGTCTGGCGGATGCCGCACCTAAAGGCTCCCTGGCAGCGGAGACACCATGGCAAACACTACAGTCAAGTCCCAAATTCAGACGTGTTTACTGCTTTAATGAAGGGACAGACTGGTCTGCACCAAGACTTTGTTGATCTCTAAGTCCAAATGAGAATATTTCCCTCCTAGTACCTTCGGATAGACCCTGCAGAATCAGAGGCATGGCAAGAGCGGCCCCTTAGTGCACCATCTGGTTGGTGTCAGGTCCCACATGGCCTGCCGAGCAGCAGGGGCCTCCATGGCGTCAGAAAAGCAGTGTGGGCTGATACCCTAGTAGCCTTCTCTCTAGCGTCCAATTCAACATTATCTCTCTTTACCATTGCCATTTCCTGCGATGGACAGACTGCTGGCCATCTCCATTTCCCCTTGTAGACATTTGAGTTCTCTCCAGCTGCTGTGAGGACTTTGGGAATTGAAGTCCCAAGTTTCAGGTCCACCTTTGTTTCCTTTTTTTTTTTTTTTTAAGATTTATTTATTTTTATTGGAAATGCAGGTATTACAGAAAGCAGAGACAGAAAGATCTTCCATCCCATGGTTCACTCCCCAAGCGGCCACAACGGCCAGAGCTGAGCCAATCCAAAGCCATGAACCAGGAGCCACTTCTGGGTCTCCCACGTGGATGCATGGTCCTCAAACCTTGGACCATCCTCGACTGCTTTCCCAGGTCACAGACAGGGAGCTAGACGGGAAGTGGGGCCGCCGAGATTAGAGCCAGTGCCCATATGGGATCCCGGGACACTCAATGAGAGAACTTTAGCCACTTGGCTATAGCTCCGAGCCCATCCCCTCCTTCGTTTCTTGATGTGCTTGAATTGTGAATGTCACTCCCCACACCACTGTCCTTTGGGAAACCCGCTCCCTTCTTTATAAAATGCTGTGGTGGGCATGTGTCAACCCCAGTGTATAGCATGGAAGCTGGGCCTCTCCAGGGGAGAACTTGTCTAGACTTCTGGGGCATTTCTTCTGATCTCCCTGGTCTAAAAGTCTCACGAGTACCACCAAGAAACTCAAAAGACAATACAAACATCAAGTATGGCAGGGATTTATTAGGAAGCTTATTAGTCACAGTGAATAAAAGGCAAGAACAGAAGAACTCAAGAGATCTCCAAATGCTGGCACTGGGCTTAGAACACAAGTCAGAAGCTAATAAACATGGAGGAGGTGCCGGGGGGGACTTGACTAAATCTCAGTCTTACTGGACCAGGTTACCCACATGCACAGAAGTGACGCCCAGGCACCCCCCAGACCGTTTAGCAGGCAGTGAGGAGAGCTTCTCCCCAAGCCATCACACGCAGCAGGGGACTCGTCCAGCTTCAGCCACGGGACGCCTGTGTGACAGCTCCATGCAGGGCCACTTGACAAGAAAGCTGGACACTGACCAGGAGAAAGAGCAAGCAGAGACAAGTGTTTCCCAGTGAAGACCCTCCTGACGGCTAAAACAGCCACAAGCCTGAGGCTTCTGTTTCCTGCAGTTCAAAAACAAAAAACAAAAAGAAAAATTCTGCCACAAAACAAGACACTTGGGATCCCATGGCCACCGTGACTGGCAAAACAAGCACTATCCACGACTGCCAGACGCCACCCAGCCTGAGACCCGATTTCTGCAGGGCTCTGGAGAACCACGGTGGTCCCTCGGCACCCACACAACTCTCCTGGCGGTGTGGGGTGTCCCCCAGCCAGGCCTTGGCAGCAAGCCCCTAAGACTAAGCCTGGCAGAGCCTGTGGCAGCCAACTCTCTCGGAGCTTCTCTGTCCTTCCCAGCAGGCAGTCTCTCGTCTTCTCGGACACAGCACATCTGTGGGAGCTGTGGGCAGCCTTAGGAAATGAAGTGTGTCTGCGGGGTAACCTGATGCACCCTGTGATCGGCGGGGTTGGCCGAGGCTTCGTAATTGCAGATAGTCACCTCATGTCGGCGAAGCTGTAAGGAAACCGAGGCTGGGTCAGGGCCAAGCACAGAACTGCCCCTTCCTGAACCAACCACTCTAGTGTAGTCCTTATTCTTGTTTGTTTCTAGAAGCCATCACCTAACCTCTTCCCTCTTCTGATACATTTGACCCTGAAAAGCCTGCAGAGAAGATCAAGGATTCATTCCAGACCCAGTAGTGGGGGATACACCATGAAAACAGGAACTTATCCAAAATTTTAGATTCATTTTCATTGGAAAGTCAGATTTACAGAGTAAACGAGATAACTGAAAGGAAGATCTTCTGTCTGCTGGTTCACTCCCCAAGCAGACACAACAGCCAAGCTGAGTTGATCCAAAGCCAGGAGCCAGGAACCAGGAGCTTCCTCCGTGTCTCCCACGTGGATACGGTGTCCCAAGGTTTTGGTCCATGCTCTGCTGCTTTCCTAGGCCATAAGCAAGGAACTGATGGAAAGCGGAGCAGCTGGGACATGAACTGGTGCCCATAAGGGATCCTAGTGCTTGCAAGGAGAAGATCAACCCTCTCAAAAGTGCCTATAGTTAGAGCTGGCATGATGGCTCAATATGCTAATCCTCTACCTGCTAGTGCTCACATCCCATATAGAAAGTAATTCTAGTTCTAGTTACTCCAATTCCCGTCCAGCTCTCTGCTTGTGGCCTGGGAAAACAGTGGAGGATGGCTCAAGTTCTTGAGTCCCTGCACCCACATGGGACACCCAGAAGAAGCTTTGGGCTTGGATCAGCTCAATTCTGGCCATTGTTGCCATTTGGGAAGTGAGCCATTCGGAAGATCCTTCACTTCGTCATTCATTCTCTCTAAATCAGCCTTTCAAAGAAAAAAAAAAAAAAAAGCAAATCTTTAAAAATCCCTAAAGTCAAATGAATCAGATAAGATTTACTCTGAAGAAACTGAGAAAAAAATGTAAACCGAGCAGCAGAAGTAGCTGGATGCCTCACTTGCTCTTTCCCTTCCCTCGAAGCTCCTGCCAAGGCAGCGTCCAGAGACAGGCAGGACTGGTTTCTCGGCCCCGTCTTACCTCAGTCCATTCTCCTCTCAGACCAATATAAAAAACTTTTGTTGTATCCGCTCCAAAGTTTTTTGAAATATGAATTGAGAGGTGACAGACGTTTGAAAAACGAGAAATTCTAGAAAATGAAAAGGAGAAATACAAGGTTACAGTTCAACAAGCATCTCACCACCATGTCAATAATTCAGCTACAACTTGTAAAACCCAGGCAAATGCCAGCACCCACTCCTGCGGTCTGTCTGCTCTGCTCAAGTGGACACTTCCCAAGGGCCTGCAGAGCCAGCCCAGGCAGTGGAGACACAGAAGGGATGACTGGGCTGCTGCCCTCAAGCAGTTGGAGTCTGGGAACACTGCAAAGCCAAGCAGGGGCTCCGGCATGTTCAGTGGGTAACTCCCCTCAGCAACCACACACCAATGCAGAGATCCAGTGGCCATGTGCAATGCGACTCAATGCAAGCTCTCTCTGCAAAGAGTTCTAGAACCATCATTCCTAAGGCTACCCATGGAGTTCATTCAGCTCTATCAGCTCTTCCAAATGAACCAATCTGCACCTTGTACTAAATTGCACCTCCTCCCCCACCATTTTAACACACAGCTGATGCTAATGGAAAATGGCAAGCTCCAGAAGCCTTGATGTTCACCCTGTGAGCTCACAGCAAGAATTCCCAGAAGCCACAGAAAAGGGGCCCAGCACTCACTTCGTGGCATACTCCAATTCTCCTGTAACATCCCGGTTCAGACTAAAGGTCTGGTCTGGCTCCCTTTCTGTGTCATCAAATGACATCTGAGGAATGTTCTTGTACCTTGGAAAGAAAAGGGAAGGAAAGTCAAGAAAGGTGTCTCACTGTCCTTTCTAAAGCTCCCTACAGACTGCGCAGGTGGCTTTGGTTCTATCCAAAGGATGTCAAATTTGGGGGACAAAGTTTGGAAATGGCATTTCACTGGCTTTTTCATTCAGATGTCTTCAACGCAACAAGAGCTGCCAACTGCAACATAACCCAGTGGCATCTTTGAGTGGGTTATGATCACATGAGAAGCAACACGCAAATGATGGCTCAACCCAGGTCACGTGCAGCCAATACACAAAGAAAACAGGTAACCCAGCACATCCCATCAGGCTGAGGGTGTTCAATAAAACCACTTACTCATGGGGAAAAAAGACATACTTTGGCAGAAACACATTAAACACAGATAAGATCAGGTCACCCTGTGCTTCTGTTCCAAAATTGCCCAAGACATCCATCTTAGGGTTCTTAAAAACACAACTTGGGGATTTCCCTTGTGAAAGAGCAAGAGAAGCTACCAATTCACAGCAGGCTTCGGGACGTCATAGTAAAACCACTAATGAAGAAAATGTTTTCAAAGCAACAACTCTGTGTGTAGCCCATAAACTCCAAAGTCCTGGGCCACCGCCAGCTCCAGGGTGCTCGTTGACCCACCTACACAGGGCCTGCTTATCTGCTGCAGAACAGCCGCTGTCTTTGAAGAAAGAAAACATTTGCTTCAAAGTGTTTTCAGGAACCAGTACCAGAATGATAATAACAGTGACCATTTACTAGCAGCGTCATGAAAGGCAGCAGAGCACTGTAGTTAGGTGTCCCAACCAACAGAAGGAGAAAACATTTTTGCAAATTATTCATCCAACAAGGGATTCATATCTAGAATACAGCAGAAAGTCAAACAATTCAACAGCAAAAAAGTTAAAATTTCATTTTATAAATGGACAAATGATTTGAAAGAGATGTTTCAAAGCAGACAAAGGTGGTATATTGTGGTGCAACTGCCATGTGGAACATCCAAATCCCATAACCAAATGCCAGTTCAAGTCCTAGCTGCTCAGCTTCTGATCCAGCTCCCTGCTAACTCGCCTGGGACTTAACAAGGTCAGCACACCGAAGAGACACCTGCACTCTCACCACTTGGCTTATCCAGCCAAGGCGTTCTCTAGAGCCCAAGTCATCTATCCACGGACACAGGATCAACAGAATGCACGAGGAATGACTAAACAATGGAATATCAGTTACCCACAAAAAACAAATGAAGGCTTCATTCAGTTATTTATTTGAGGAGCAGAGACAGATGAGAGGGAGTAAGCTCCCACTCACTGGTCGACCTCTCAGATGCCCACACGGGTGCCCAGGCAGTTCAAGACAGGAGCTCAGCTCAGCTCTCCCAGGACGAGTGGCAGGGAAGCAATCACTCAAAAACTCACTGCTGCCTGCCAGGGTCATCCCGGAGGGAAATGCCAGCACGGCAGCAGGGGAGGCTGGCATTCTGACTGGCACCTCAGCGGAAGGCCAGACACAACCCTGAAGCTCGATTATCTGCTGCAACCTGGAGGAGTGAGGAGTAAAATAGCTCAGGCCCCGAAAAACTAAGATTGCATGCCATCCTCTAATGCAGAAGCTAAAAAAGCTGACGCCAGAAGCAGAAGGTAAGAACTTGGGCCAGTGGGCCCGGCGCGGTGGCGCAGTGCTTTTAAGGTCCTCGCTTTCACACCCGGGATCCCATATGGGCGCCGGTTCTAATCCCAGCAGCCCCGCTTCCCTTCCAGCTCCCTGCTTGTGGCCTGGGAAAGCAGTTGAGGACGGCCCAAAGCTTTGGGACCCTGCACCCGTGTGGGAGACCCGGAAGAGGATCCTGGCTTCGGATCGGCATAGTATTGGCCGTTGCGCTCACTTGGGGAGTGAATCATCGGACGGAAGATCTTCCTCTCTGTCTCTCCTCTCTGTATATCCGCCTTTCCAATAAAAAAAAAAAAAGAACTTGGGCCAGCGACTGCAGCTTTCTGATTAGCACGGAGCTGGATCAGAAGTGGAGCACCTGGAGGGACTCGAGCTGGAACCCACAGGCACAGGATAAGCCTGTCGTGCCCAAATGCCAGCCCTCTAAAAATTTTATTATGGAAAACTGTGAACATATGCAAGAGAGAAAATGAATCTCTATGTATTTATCACTCATCTTTAATAATATTGCCAGTTTTGCCTGTAACCTTTACTTCATTTGTTATTTTCTTTGTTTAAAGGTTTGCTTATTTATCTGAAAGGCAGAGGGAGGTTTTCCCATCCTCTGCACACGGCACAAGAGCTGACGTGGGGCCAGGCCAAAGCCAGGAACCTGGAACTCCAAGTGGGTCTTCCTGGGCCCAAGGACTTGGGTCATGTTCCATGCTTTCCCAGCACAACTTCAGACAACTGAGACTCACACGGGATGTCAGCATGACAGGTGGCAGCTTCACCTGTAGCACTACGTTGCCAAACCCTGTACTTAATATTTTAAAGCAATTCCAGATATATCACCTAATAAAAAATTCGGTATGTGGGTCAGCACAATGGCTCAACTTGCTAAGCTTTCCCCTTCAAACACCAGGATCCCATACAGGCACCAGTTCAAGACCTAGCTACTCCACTTCCCATCCAGCTCCCTGCTTGTGGCCTGGGAAAGCTGCTGAGGACGGCCCAAGCTCTTGGGACCCTGCACCCGCATGGGAGACCTGGAGGAAGTTCCTGGCTCCTGGCTTCAGGTCGGCTCAGTTCCAGCCCTTGTGGCCACTTCAGGAGTGAAACCAGCAGATGGAAAGTATTTCTCTCGTTCTCTGTAGATCTCTCCTTCCCGTTGAAAATAAATAAATCTTAAAAAAATAATAGTGCGCACTTCAGCAGCATACATACTAAAACTGGAACGATACAGAGATTAGCATGACTCCTGCATAAGGATGACATGCAAATTCGTGAAGCGTTCCATATTTTAAAAAATAAAGACTTTTAAAAAATTTATCTATTTTTATTGCAACGTCAGATATACAGAGAGGAGAAGAGACACAGAGGAAGATCTTCCGTCTGATGATTCACTCCCCAAGTGACCCCAAAGGCTGGTGCTGCGCCAATCTAAAGCCAGGAGCCAGGAGTCTCTTCCAGGTCTCCTATTACATATAGACCATGTCCTCTGATACATAAATGCCTGCAATAACTTTTTAAACCGAGGCAGAATAAGAGATTAGCAACAACAACTTTAGCAACTACAGCATAACATTTTTTTTCTTCTTTATGAAGTCAAGACTCTTCCTTTTCACTTTCCCTTTGGCACATAAAAACTGCAAGTATCACTCCCCGGTGCCAGCGGGACAGTTATACAGTCCAGCCGAAGTGACCGACGGAGGTGCACACAGTGTGGATATCTGGACCAACAGAGGAGTCAGAGCCAGGATTCACCGTGTTCTTTAGGATGGTCCAACCGAAACCTTGGGAACTATTTATTTCTAGGATGTCGCATTTATTTTCCTACTGCTGCTGATCACACCTATCTGAAACTACAGAAAATGAAACGGGAGACAATGGGGCTGTTGCATGTGGATCTGCTTGCAAACCGTGCTTTAACATTCATGGACGGTCCCAGGGCCAAGGCTCAATTAGCTAATTCCCCACCTCCAAGCGCTGGTATCCCATTGGGCACTGGTTCCTGTCCCAGCAGCTCCGCTTCCCATCCAGCTCCCTGCTTTGGCCTGGGAAGGAAGTAGAGAATGGCTCAAGGCCTTGGGACCCTGCACCCATGTAGGAGACCTGAAGCAGCTCCAGGCTCCTGGCTTCGGACTGGCTCAGCTCCAGTGATTGCGGTCATGTGGGCAGTGAGCCAGTGGATGGGAGATCTGTCTCTTATCTCTGTAAACCTGCTTTCCCAATAAAAATCAATATATATTTTTAAACAATTCATGGACAGTATTCACTTAATAGCACTGAAGTCCATTAAGGTTGATCCATTTATCAGATGGCATTTTTGTCTGTGAAGTTGCTCTGCTGTTTGTTCTTCCAGTACTCAAAAAGCAGCTCTCATCTTCACTGAGGAAAGCTAGTCTAGGATGAGATCGATTGTCCAAACCGGAACTCTAGCCCTGGTGGCCAGAGACCTGGTGTGGCAACAAGTATGTGGAACTTTGCTCGGTGGAAACCACACACTCTGCTGGAGAAATCCCACGTGCCAACTCACACAGCTCATCACTATAGGGAACAGCTGGCCGCAGGAGTGGAATCCTTGAGACAGCCGAGCTCTGCAGCTGCTGCGGACAGGATGCTGTGTGACCGGTGCCACTGTGGGCACCTGGAAAGAAGGACAGCAAGCTGCTGGCGCTTGCGGAACTTCATCTAAAAGTGCTGTTAATTCAGGAAGACAAGTGGATTCTGGGGCACCCTGAGAACAGGCCGAGACGCTTCCAAAGGGGGAATAGTAAACCCAAGAAAATCGGTATGACGCTGACATGTCAGTAGAGAGAAAGGACCAGAAGGTTCTGGAGGGCCACTTACAGTCTCATCTCAGAGGGGTGTGAGTCGTCGTCCTCTCCCATTATAATGATGCCTTTGAGCTTGACATTCCCAGTAAATCTGCCAGGATACAAACAGAGAAGTGTGTCAGCCAGCTGGCTGCCACCCAAGCCCTGCTGGAGTAGACCCCTCACCCGGCTGGGAGTCCGTCTCCTCATCTCTCCAAACTTGTATCATGGCTTCTGAGAGCCGGGCCTCCTACGCGTCTAGGGGACCGATTGGACTGCTCAGTTACCGCTCAGCAGACCCATCCGACTCCAGTCTGCACCAAAAAAACCTGGGCTGCTTTTCCTCCTCGAGCCCACTTAAGCCCACTTCTGGAAGCAGATGGGGGCTCTGGACGTCATGAACCCCTGTGTCTGGCGAGGCGGCTTGGGGTCCAGCCTCACTGGCCTGAAGCAGCCACCAAGCAGATACTTACGGGATATTAAACAGAAGCTCTTCGTCGGCATCACTCTCAACAAACTGGAGGGGCGGGGAGGGAGGGGGGAGAAAGCAACAAATATTTGCTGAGCGCCTCCAAACTTCAGGCATCTCCCACCCCGTTCTGCAGCTGGAGGGCGAGGGTGCCGAGCGCCGCCTCCACCTGCCTCCTGAGCCAAAAGGTCTTAACTGCCCAGGACTCGGTGAAGCGGAGAAGACTCATGCTGTCGGCCCCTTTTCCAGGGGAGGGAATGCACACCGTTCCAACGACTCGCGGGCACCGGCGACCCTACAGCGGCTCTGAACGACCCCGCTCTGGGTGGGGACTTAGGGTTCCAATGCGGGCGAGGATCGATCGCTTCCGCACGACTCCACGCAGCCCTGGCAACCAGCGCTAGGTAGGACCGATTTCCCTGTCCCATAAAAATGGAGAGGAGGGGTACACTCAACCCGCTTCGCCTCCCAAAGGGCTGGCAGGAGACGGACCCGCGAGTGCGCCCGGGAACCCTGGGCTGTCGTTCCCCGTCGCCCCGGGGAGCCCGAGGCCGCACGCGGCCCACCTTGGAGCGGTCGCTCCGCTCCTCCCACGGCTTGAAGACGCCGCGGCCGCTGCCCTCGCGGCTCTCGTTGAGACACTGCAGCCGCTCCAGGTCGATGCGCAGGTACAGCCCGTAGGCCAGGCCGCGCTGCTCGGGCGGCTCCTCTCGCTCGGCGGCGCAGCGGCAACCGCCCCCGCCGTGGCTGTGGCCGTGAGACATGGCGCCTCCGCCGCTCGTGCGTCTCCCTCCTCGGCCAGGCGCCGGCCGCTCCCCCTCGGCCCTGCTCCGGCCGCCAAGCGCGCCCAGTCAGCCGCGCGTCGTAAAAGGCGCCCGCCTGTGCAGCGCAAGCGCGCAAGCCCGGGGGCGGGACAGCGTGCAGGCCCGGGGGCGGGCCTGCCCTGGAACAGGACTGACAGCCGGGCCGGGGGCGGAGCAACGCGCACGCCTGGAGGCGGGGCAAGACCGGGGCGGGGCAACATGCAGTCCCGTGGGCGGGGCAAGCCTGGGAGCGGGGCGGGCGCGCAGGCCCGGGGGCGGGGCCTGGCGGAGGTGGACCGGACGGCTGGGAGACGCTGGCTCAGGGCCGCGTGGGTGTAGACGTTGCCCGCGTCGTGGATCCGGACGCCGCGGCCGACTCAGCCCGGGAAGTCCATGGGCGGTGTCCAGCCAGCGGTGAGGGGGCGCTCGCCGCTGTGCCATGGGAAGGAACGCGTGCGGAACGACCCGGTGCGGGGCGCAGGGGCAAGCCGCGTGCTCTTCGGGCGCTCCGGGACCCACTCGGGCGAGGGCGGACTTAGGGACGGCCAAGGGCCCTCCTGGTTCGGCTGTCGGTGCTGTGACCTTGAGTCGTTTCCTTAATCTAGGGTCTCCTTGACCCAGAAATAATAGAATTCCGGGCGCGGTGGACTTTGGATAATGCAGAGATAATATAGCTGGGCAGAGGCATCACTTCCCTCCCGGGTCGCTACGTTCTCAGCAGTACAGCTGCGCCCAGCTGTGTGTCCTTGAGCAGACTGAAAGACTGCGACACAGCTCAGCCCTTGAAGTGAAGGAATCCGAGCAGATGATCTTTAAGTTCCCCTCCAACTCCCCGTGAGATTTCTCAGCAGTTTTCTCAGAGGTTCTGCCTCCTCAAGAGGTCTTAGTATTTTTTTTTTTCTAAGTTACCTTTGTGAAAGGCAGAGAGGGAGAGACCAACAGAAACGGATCTGTTTGTCAAATGGCCACAATGGAACCGGGAGCCTGGAATTCGCTGGGGTCTCCAACGTGCTGTCAGAAGAACAGGCAATGGGACATTTCCCCAGACCCCCAGGAGAATTCCCAGGAAGCAGGATGGGATGTGGAGCAGCCAGAACGTGAACCAGTGTCCATGTGCATTGTAGGTGGCAGCTTATCTCCAACAGAATGCTGGCCCCTGTGGGCAACATTTTAAAAAACAGAATTTTTTAGACCTAGCACGGTAGCCTAGTAGCTAAAGTCCTAGCCTTGTATGTATCCGGATCCTGTATGGGCACAGGTTCTAAGTCCCAGCAACTCTGCTTCCCATCCAGCTCCCTGCTTGTGGCCTGGGAAAGGAGTGGAGGACAGCTCAAAGCTTTGGGACCCTGTACTCATGTAGGAGACCCAGAAGACTCCAGGCTCCTGGCTTCGGATCGGCTCAGCTCTGGCCATTGCGGCCGGTTGGGGAGTGAATAGTGGACAGAAGCTCTCTTTCCTCCTCTCTGTATATCTGCCTTTCCAATCAAAATAAATAAATCTTCAAATAATTGTTTTGTTTGAAAGGCAGAATTGGAGAGGGAGCGATCCTTCTATCTGCTGGCTTACCGTCCCAGTGGGCACCTCAGCCGAGACTGGGCCACACTGAAGCTGGCAGCCAGGATGTTCAGGGTCTCCCACATGGGTTCGGGGGCCAAAGTACTTGGGCCATCTTCCACTACTTTCCCATGTCATTGGCAGGGAACTACATCGGAAGTGAAGCAGCCAGGGCTCCAGCTGGTGTCTAATGGATGCCAGCGTTACAGGAGCAGGTTCATCTGGTACGCCACAGTACCAGCCCCAGACTGTATCTCTTGATCACAGGAACCACAAAAGATTCTGCCCCATCCCTTGTGGGCTTATATTAGTTATCAAGTGTAATAACTTACTTCTAAACATAGTGGCTCAAAACAGCATTTATTGTCTTATGTTTCCTTGAGCTCTGGGTTTGGAAACAGCTTTGCTGTTTGGTTCTGGCCTGGGGTCTCTCCTGAGCCTGAAGACGTCCCAAACCAGACAATCCATCTTCAAGATGGCACACTCACGTGACAGGCTTCTCAGGGATTGTTGGTCCTCCGGATCCCAGTGCAAGCAGTCTAGAAGACCAGTGGGGTTAGAACCAATGTCTGATAGACCTAGCTTCAGGGGTCACAACTATCCATTCTGCAAGGTCCCTGTGGGTCAGGGAACCGCAGAGGGGTGCAGGTGCCAGGAGGTGGGGCTCAGAAGGTGTTACCTTGCAGCTGGCTGTGTCTGCCCCCCTACATGCTGAGTGGCACCAACAATGTCTAACTGGTAATGTGTGGGTATTACTCCTCCTAATTTTTAAAAAATATTTATTATTTGTTTTCATTGGAAAGTCAGATATACAGACAGGAGGAGAGACAGGAAAATCTTCTGTCCACTGTTTCACTCCCCAACCAGCTGGAGCTGAGCTGATCTGAAGCCAGGAGCCTGGAGCCTCTTATGGGTCTCCCATGCAGGTGCAGGTGCAGGGTCCCAAGGCCTTGAGCCGTCCTCCTCTGTTTTCCCAGGCCACAAGCAGGGAGCTGGATGGGAAGTGGAGCAGCTGGGACTAGAACCAGTGCTCATATGGGATCCCAGTGCGTGCAAGGCAAGGGCTTTCGCTGCTAGGCTACTGTGCCAGGCCCTATTTAATTATTTTTTATTGGAAAGTCAGGTATACAGAGAGGAGGAGAGACACAGAGGAAGATCTTCCATCCATTGATTCACTCCCCAACCGGCCGCAACGGCCGGAGCTGAGCCAATCTGAAGCCAGGAGCCTGGAGCCTCTTCTGGATCACCTATGCAGGTGTAGGTTCCCAAAGCTTTGGGCCATTCTCTACTGTTTTCCCAGGCCACAAGCAGGGAGCTGGATGGGAAGTGGGGCTGCCAGGATTAGAACTTGTGCCCCTGTGGGATCCCGGTGTGTGCAAGGTAAGGACTTTAACTGCTAGGCTACCTTACCAGGCCCAGAATTCCTCCTAATTTTGAAACCTTGGCCCTGCTTGCTTGTAGCTTTGGGAAACACAGGGGTGCTCTTGTCCCTGACTCTGTTTTCTGGAAGATGTGTTTGAGGGCGTCTCTTGGTCCCTGGCATCCTGGAATGTGCTGACACAGGGTTTCAGGTGGCCCTGCTGTTGTGCGTGGAGCTGCAGGCCAGCTGGGTGCTTGCCGCCCCTGAGCCCTTCAGCAGCGTCAGCATGCAGCTTAGATCGGTTTGTTCATCGATTGGCCTCTGGCCAGGCAGACGGCTTAGGGATATGAAAGGAGGGGTACAGGGGACCCTGCTGCTAGGCCTCCTAGCGCCGTGTTCTTCCGTTGAGGCCGCTTGGGGAATCAACAGATGGCGTATATTCCTCGCTGAGAGAGAAAGAGAGAGTGCTCTTCTCAGGTCACTGTGAAGACTTTATAAAAGCAGCACGAGAAACCGATTTTCCCTAACAGCCATTTGGCTTTGGTGAGAACTCTGCAAGTTGGCTCATCTGCCTCAGCCTCATAGATATTAACTATGATCTCCAGCCTCAGATTGGTTTTATATAAAACGAGGGACAATAAGAGCAAAAAATATAAAATGGCATTGTGGCATAACAGATGAAGCTTCCGCTTGCAACACGAGCACCCATGTGGGTACCAGATCAAGTCCCGGCTGTTCCACTTCTGATCCAGCTCCTTGTTAGGGTGCTTTGGAAAGAAGCAGAAGATAGCCGAAAAGCTTGGGCCCCTGCGCCCATGTGGAAGACGTGGGAGAAGTTCCAGGCTCCTGACTTCAACCTGGCTTAGCATCAGTCCTTCAGTCACTTGGAGAGTGAACCAGCAAATGGGAGATTCTGTGTCTGGACAGAGGCAGGGGGTGGGGAATTATGTTCTCCTCTCTCTCTCTCTTTTAAAAAAGTAAAAAATAAATCTTAAAAAGCTGTGTGCCTTGTGAAGTTCTGTGATGCCAGTGATAGGAGACCACACATAAAAAGTGTCCCATCCAGCGCCTGGTCTGCAGGAAAAGGCCGTCTCTTAAAGTGACTGTCACTACTCACAAGACCTGTCGGTTTTTTGCGCCCCCGTCTGGTCGAATGGGAAACTGCAGTGGCTACGGGGGCACATGGGCAGGATTGGGAAGGCGCTGGCTGGAGTGGCAGGTGGGAGGTAGCTTAAGTGTGATTTGGGGGACTCATACCTCTGCTTACTGACCCCTGCCTTGCACTCTCGTTTTCTAGGAATGTTTAAGAAGAAGTGGGAATTCTCGCCGACTCCTAGAACGACTCTGAGGCAAGTAGGGAAAGCTTCCAAGATTTTTCTTTCTTGCATTGGGAGCAGCAGTGTTCTGGCTTAGCGGGCGAGGCCAGTGGCCAGTGCCTCTGCTCCCTAAATACATCTCTGTAGATATCTGCACAGGCCAGCGGTGGAGTTATATCCGTGTATCCATGTTCCTCCGTCTCCTGCCCCAAGCTTGAAGAAACTATTAACTATTGCTGTTAGCATCACTTAAAAAAAAAAAAGATTTATTTATTTTTGTTGGAAAGGCGGATATACAGAGAGGAGAGACAGAGAGGAAGATCTTCCGTCCAATGGTTCACTCCCCAAGCGGCCACAACGGCTGGAGCTGAGCCAATCCGAAGCCAGGAGCCAGGAGCTTTTCCAGATCTTCCACGTGGGTATAGGGTCCCAAAGCTTTGGGCCGTCCTCGACTGCTTTCCCAGGTCACAAGCAGGGAGCTGGATGGGAAGTGGAGCTGCTGGGATTAGAACCGGCACCCATATGGGATCCTGGCGCATGCAAGGTGAACCATCTTCTGCTGCTTTCCCAGGCACATTGGCAGAGCTGGATCAGAAGTGGAGCAGCCAGGACTCACACTGGCACCCCTATGAGTGTTGTTCCCAACAGCCTCAGTTCTAACAGCTCCCTCTCCTAAAGGCCCACTCTGTGCTCAGCATGTCCTCAATTCATCAGCTTCGTAATGGCCACATACTTGAGCACTTTCTGTGTGCCAAGCACTGTTTTATGCATATCACATGCATAAATTAAAAAAAAAAGATTTATTTATTTTCATTGGAAAGTCAGACATTCTGAGAGGAGCAGAGACAGAGAGGAAGATCTTCCATCCAGTGGTTTTTAAATCTTAAAAAAATTTTTATTTTTATTGGAAAAGTAGATATACAGAGAGGAGGAGAGACAGGGAGGAAGATCTTCCATCAGATGATTCACTCCCCAAGTAGCTGCAACGGCTGGAGCTGAGCTGAACCAAAGCCAGGAGCCAGGAGCTTCTTCTGGGTCTCCCATGCAGATACAGGGTCCCAAGGCCTTGGGCCGTCCTTGACTGCTTTCCCAGGCCACAAGCAGGGAGCTGGATGGGAAGTGGGGCAGCCTGGATTAGAACCTGTGCCCATATGGGATCGTGGCACATACAAGATGAGAACTTTAGCCACTAGGCTACCTTGCCAAGCCTAATGTCACATGTTTTTACTCATCAAATCATTATGACAGCTTTGCAAGGCAGATATATTATATTTATTTTTTTGAGGTGAGAAACTGAGGCAGAGAGAGGTTAAGTGACTTGCTGAAGGGTGCACAGCTAAGAAGGGTGAGATTCAAATTGGGGTGTGACTCAAAAGGCTGTACCCTTGGCTGCCCTGCTCCCGGGCCTTGCGATCTGCCTAGTTGCCCGGGACCCCAGCTGCCTTGCTTGCCGGTGGAAACTTCATAGCCTTCTGCAAGTATTACCAATTCTTTATACCCAGGCACAGAGTTGCTCTTCCTCACCGCCGTGAGTTTAGATGCTGCTGTGAAATGTGACAGGAATGATGGATGTCACTTCTGGATGTGGTTTAGGGGCCAGCCCTGGCCTTGAACATGTGGATTGTGTGTGTGGTATGGAGACAGCACCTCCTGAGCCAGGGCCCATGGAGGACCATGTTAAGGCAAAGCCTTGTCAGACTCATTGGCCGAGCAATGAGGCCTGGGTTGTTACAAACCAGGATGGGTTGGGGGTTATTCCCGCTTGAAGCAAGTGCAGGGGTTCCTAAGTGTGGCACTGTTTTCTTTTGCAGCTAGCCAGTTCTTTGGGGATGTGGGAGCTGTGTGCACTACAGGGTGTTAGAAGATCCCTGGCCTCTGCCCACGGGATGCCCACGGCACCATTACAGCAGCAACTAAAATTTCCTCCAAACATTGCCCGAGTGTCTGACAGGAGCCACATCACAGCTGGCTGAGAGCTGCTGCCAGTCTGGTTGTCCTGCCAGTCCTACGTAAACCCTACCTGGGCATGATTGTTTCCTGGACGGCGTCAGACAGGTGATGTGCCAGCACGGCCACCAGACTTCGTGCTCGTGGGACATACGGACACCTCGAGCTGGCTTTCTGCATTTTAAAAATGTTCTGTTGGACCTGGCATGATGGCGTGATGGCTCATTGGCTAAATACTTACCTTGCAAGTTTTGGGATCCCATATGAGCACCAGTTCATGTCCTGGCTGTTCCACTTCCCATCCTGCTCCATGCCTGTGGCTTGGGAAAGCAGTCAAGGATGGCTCAAAGCCTTGGGAGCCTGCACCCATGTGGGAGACCCAGAAGAGCCTCCTGGCTCATAGCTTCAGGTCAACTCAGCTCTGGCGTTTGTGAACATTTGTGGAGTGAACCAGTGGATGGAAGATCTTCCTCTCTGTGTCTCTCCTCACTGTAATTTTAAGCAGCATTTCCAATAGTCTCTCTTTTTTTTTTTTAAGATTTTATTTATTTTTGGGCCCGGTGCGGTGGCGCAATGGTTAAGGTCCTCACCTAGCACGCCCGGGATCCCATATGGGCGCTGGTTCTAATCCCAGCAGCCCCGCTTCCCATCCAGCTCCCTGCCTGTGGCCCAGGAAAGCAGTCAAGGATGGCCCAAAGCTTTGGGACCCTGCACCCGTGTGGGAGACCCGGAAGAGGCTCCTGGCTTCGGATTGGCATAGCATCAGCCGTTGCACTCACTTGGGGAGTGAATCATCAGACGGAAGATCTTCTTCTCTGTCTCTCCTCTCTGTATATCTGCCTTTCCAATAATAAAAATAAATCTTAAAATATTTTTATTTATTTTTATTGGAAAAGTAGATATACAGAGAGGAGGAGAGACAGGGAGGAAGATCTTCCATCAGATGATTCACTCCCCAAGCGGCCGCAACAGCCGGTACTGCACTGATCTGAAACCAGGAGCCAGGAACTTCTTCTAGGTCTCCCACATGGGTGCAGGGTCCAAAGGCTTTGGGCTGTCCTTGACTGCTTTCCCAGGCCACAAGCAGGGAGCTGGATAGGAAGTGGAGCTGCCAGGATTAAAACCTGTGCCCATATAGGATCCCGGGCGCATTCAAGGTGAGGACTTTGGCTGCTAGGCTACAGTGCTGGGCCCTGCAATAAAGTCTTTAAAAATGTTCTCCTTATCTTCCTTGCACCTGGAAGAAGGGAAAGGAAGTGAGAGAAATCTTTGACCCACTGGTTTACTTCCTACGTGCCTATAACAGCTGGGCTAGGTCGGGCTGAAGCCAGGAGCCCGGAACTCGATCCGGGTTGGTCTTGTGCAGGGCAGGGACTCAGCCACGTGTCACTGCTGCTGCCTCTTTGGGTGTGCTCCAGCAGGAAGGCCGGGGAGCTGCCCGGAGCCCTTAAGCGGGAAGTGCTGGCCAGATTTATCAGCCCTATGGGAGCCAGCTTTAACAAGCTGCATTTTTTGAGTCATATACTTCCTATGGTTTGTTTGGTATTTTCTGGAGCCCCGGCATGGAGTTTTACAACAGGGAAATGTGCATACAAGACTGGATTTCTGCCTTTTCTGTAAACCCAGGAAATGTGGCCACAGAGGGCCTTGATGTCTTCCCACGTGGGAACAGTCAGGTGGGGCTGTGTAAATAGCTCCTGTCCTCCCTCTGTTCCGGCCACTGTATCTGAGTTAGGTAGCGCTTTTTTTGCCGAGGTTTCAAGAGACCGTAGCATAAGGAAAGAGCCTGGAAAAATCAGGAGCCCAAACCGGAAAAGATGAGCTAAGTCGGCCCGGACCAGCTGGGCCCCAGAAAGGAGCTGCTGCCCACAGTACTGCCCAGCCTGTGGCCTCCAGGTCCCAGTGTCCGCATCAGCAGGAAACAAAGCCTTTTCCTTTGCTCCACCTTTAAGGAGAAAAGTTGGGGGGTGGGGAAGTGGCATGGAGTAACAGGATAATCCGACACCTGTGGTGCCAGTGTCCTTATGGATGCCAGTTCATGTCCTGGATGCCCCACTTCCCATCCAGCTCCCTACCTGTGGCCTGGGAAAGTAGTCGAGGACGGCTCCAAGCCTTGGGACCCTGCACCCACGTGGGAGACACAGAAGCTTCCAGCTCCAGGATTTGATTGGGTCCAGCTGTAGCCATTGTCGGGCTCCTCTCTGTCTCTCCTTCTCTCTGTATATCTGACTTTGTAATAAAAATAAATCTTTAAAAAAAAAAAATTGGGCCCGGCACGGTGGCGCAGTGGTTAAGGTCCTTGCCTTGCATGCCCGGGATCCCATATGGGCACCAGTTCTAATCCTGGCAGCCCTGCTTCCCATCCAGCTCCCTGCCTGTGGCCCGGGAAAGCAGTCAAGGATGGCCCAAAGCCTTGGGACCCTGCACCCGCGTGGGAGACCCAGAAGAGGCTCCTGGCTTCGGATCGGCGTAGTATCGACCAGTTGCGCTCACTTGGGGAGTGAATCATCGGACGGAAGATCTTCCTCTCTGTCTCTCCTCTCTGTATATCTGCCTTTCCAATAAAAAAATGGTTTCCCTCCCCCACAAACTCTTCCTAGTCCTGGGCTGGCTGGCAGTCCACATATCCCCAACCCCACCTCCAGCCTCAGCTGGGGAAAACGTCCCAGCCTTGCTGCCCTGCTGTCTCCCTCTCCCCCTCCCCCACCCTCCACACACAGCCAGCAGACAGACAGACAGACATGGTGATTGGGGACTGGTTGTTGCTGTTTGTTTTTTTTATTTAGACATGGAATTTTGCTTTTTATATAACTTATCTAATTAAAATATTCCTCTTGGTAGTTACCACAAAAAAAGTAACATAGAAAATTGTATTTACATTTTGGGACCAAAATACAAAGGAGGCGCAGGAGGGTGCCTTGCTCCTTTCCCTCCCGCTTCCCAGAGAAGGCCGTGGGGTACTGCCCGGGACACCAGGGGGCGCAGCGAGCTCGTCTGGGACCTTGTGCTCTGTGTAGTGTGGCACAGAAACAAAACATTGCACAAGTCCTCAGAGTGAGACTTAGACCCAGCAGCCTCTGGTGCCCGCCCTGTGCCCGCTGCAGGGCCCGGCATGGGGCATGGACGCAGACAGTGTCCTGGGGACAGGCAGATCCGGCTCTGTGTACAGGGGGTTTGCGTCAAACCTTCCTGGCCAGGGCGTGGTGGGGAGGGGGGCCAGGGCATGCGCGCCCTCCCCTCCTTTCTCCAGCTCAGGGTCGGGCTTGACACAACTGGAAATAGGAGAAACTGCTTCCCAACAACACAGCCTGGGGCACAGAGCTTGGGACAAATCCAAGGTGGCTGGCGCCCTGAGGGAGCAGTGCCCAGCGACTGCCAAGCTCTTGATGAACCCAGACATTCATCTGGCATCGGCCGAGGTGTTTTCTGATCTTAGATTTGGGGAAACAGGCTAGGAGAAGAGGGGTGCAAAGGTGATGCATTATTTCAAGGGAAATAATGTTTCATCCAGTTCAAAATAGCAGTGACTTTGATGCAGCAGTCTGTCCTGTCGCAACAGGCACCCTGGACTAAGGACGTGGAGTGTTTGTTGCACAGACTCTCAGTCGGCTGAGCTGAACCGTCTAGCGACAGCTGCAAGTGGCTAAGGGTCCATCGGGTGGTCACATGGCCACAAGCTCAGTCTGATTTCTGGGTTCCCTTAAGAAGACACACACCTCTGACTCGCAGCCTGTCCCTCTGCTGGGCCTCTGCCCGAGCAGACTCACACATTCACTCAGATCTGTCCTCTCGGGCAGCCACAGAGGCAGCCAGTGTTACCCTCCTCATTGGGTTCTGGCTGCCCTGTCCACTCAGGAAGTGCGAGTCCAGATATGGACACCCCAACCCCGACATCGTGGTGTACACGCTTCCCGCTCTTCCAAATCTTGGCTGAGAAATGCAAAAAAACAAGTATAGTGTAGAGTTTCTACACCACAAGTTTCTCTACCCAGTGTGGCAAACTGCCATGCTGCGCCTTCACAAGGTCCTACCTCTGAAAAGGCAGAGCAAAGCGAAGCGTCCCAGCTGCTAAAATCCTTTACTTCCTGTTGCAGTTCATAGGGCAGAAGAGATTAAAGTGCTGGCGATTACAGCTCTCCAGAGCTGTGGGGAACCCTGCCATGTTTGGGCTCCTTCCCCTGCCTTACAAGCTGATGGGGAGAATGAATGAGACAGGAAAAGAGGGGGTAGGGAGGAGAAAAAGCCCAAAATTTTCAATCAGAAATTGGAAATTGTAAAAATATTGAGATTTTGTGCAAATTCATCTCCCAAGGTTCTGTGCCTTCTAGTAAACCTTAAAACAAAACAAAACACACACACCCCAAAATACAGGATGGAGGGCGGATGCCGACCTCTGCGCCTGCCTCCCTACAGCACCAGCCACTGGGGGAGGGAGGGACAGGGAGGGACAGCCCACAGGGCAGGCTCTGTCCGGGCACTCCTTGCCCACACGCAGCAAGCCCCACATGGGCTCTAGGGGCGCCTTGCCCTGCCTGTGCATCAAGTCCACCCAGCAGAGCTGACCTGAACCTGCTTTCTCAGCAGCTCTAATAAAGAACCCACGGGAGGAGGCTGAGTGAGTGGAAGAGGACCAAAAAAACCCAAAACAAACAAACAAATTAAAAAAAAAAACCTCAAAAAACCAAAACAAAAATAACCTGTGGGGTAATATAAATACAATCTGGGGGCAATATTTATTAATTAAAACTATGTCTTATAGTTTACAAAGATGCTAATTAACAACAAAAGTAGAATTGACCTTAAAATGCTCAGTGAAACTGAGGTGTCACATCTCCTTTAGAACCCTGAAGTGTGCTCCGGGTGGGTGGGGGCAGGGCTGGGGTGATGCCCACCAACGGGCGCCACTGTGAGACCGAAGTTTCCACAAAGCGAAAGACGCCGGCTTCCTTCCAAGTTCCAGGCCCCGACTCCCACTGTCCTTGTCCCCCTGCCCCCACCAATTCCAGCTCGGGGGCAGGCCCTCCTCTATCGCCGGGAGAATCTGTTTTTGAAGGCTTTAATCGTCTTGGCCATCATTGGGGCGATTTCTGGAAAAAGAGAAGCGAGGCGGTTGCCTTGGACCTGTGGCAGTAGCACCGGGCTCTGCTGCTGTCCCAAGTGCACCAGCAAACGGATGCGTTCAGGAAGTCTGCCAACACTGCTACAGCAGCAACGGCACCCCGTCATCACCCACTGGGGAACCAGTGGGCATAACCATCACCCCTGCACCCGGCTGCCTGGGCTCAGAGGGACTGGCCAACGTGTCCACAGCTGTCCCATTAGGGCAGAACTGGGATTCCATCGTTGCTATACTCCAAATTACAGACTCAGCGTCATGTAAGGCAGCCTCAGGGATACCGACCAGGAACTAGCATCCCTTCTCCTCATTCGGTCCAGGCCGGAGATGAGCCACACAGCCTGGCAGAAAACAGCCAGGTGACCTGCGTACGGCTGACATTTGGCTGGACTCCCACTCTCCCGGGGGTCATGCCAAAAACAGTCAGGCACAAGTCAGAACCCCCTGCAACATACCAGGACTCATCTGTGCTGGGGGCAGGGGAGCATCTGGTCCGTGGGCCATAGGATGCCAAAGATCGCTCAGTTTGGCCTTGCTAAGGCAGCCGCAGGTAGGACTCAAAATTCAATACTTCTATAGCAGGCTCATTTTTAAGTTGATAAGTTTTGCATGGCCCATTAACGATGTTATAAATATCCAAACGGGCCTTGGCAGAGAAACAGGCTGTCACTGAACTACCATAAGGGACCGTCGTGTGCACCGGCCTCCCAGGCATGGTTTAGACGCTACACCCCATACCCAGCATGCCACACAGCCACCCCTGCAAATGAGGGGTTCTGAGGCATACAGGAGCCCCAAGTTACTCACTCTTCACAGCTGGCTTCCTAGGATCATAGGAAACAGTGCTGACCGCTGGCGCCAGGTGGGCACTGCTGGTGCTTGGGCCGTCGTAGGCTGGCTCCTCGGGGCTAGCCTGGAAGCTGTTGCTACTGGAGGTGTGACTACTTCCGGAAGGATACGGGGCTGGCTTAATCCTGGAAAACAGAGCCCGGCAGGTGGATTATGAGCAGGGGATGAGCTCTTGGCATGGCCATCCTGAAACCTGCTGCCTGGAGGAGGTCCTGCCTGGGGTGCCTCACACCCTAGTTCTGGCTGGGGCTCAGACTTGGAAATGCTCCTGTAGCTCGGGTGAAGGGATTTTATTTAAATGGGGGAGAGGAACAGTGCAGCGAACATTTCCTGTAAGTTAGAGCTCCTGAGTCCCGGCTAACCCTGAGAGCCCTGCCACCGGCGCTGTGGTCTGGGCTCAGGGAGGCCAGGCCTTGAGCTGGCTAAGGGGCTGCGTCCAGGACCACCCTGCACCCTCACCGCCTTGGGCCAGGTGCTTCCTGCCCCACGGTCTCCGCTTGGGGCTCAGGACAACCTCCCAGGCCGCTCCTCCCTGGCAAATACTGAGAGCTTACTTAATTTTGTCGGCAACAACTGCTCCTCCAGTTCCAAACTTCTCCTGTCTCCTTCGGACATCGCGAGGTGGTTTGGCCACGGAGTTGACAAAGGCCATCTTTGCTTGTCTGCCTGTGGAGAAAGGTGGAGTGTGCGTATCCACCTGCCTCCCTGGGCAGACACTCACAACACCTGCAGGCTTCCATGCCCCCAGAACCAAAGGCTCATCAACCCTCGGAAGCCCGAGGCAGCACAGCAGCTCCACACCGCTCGCCTCTGCAAATGCCCAAGACTTGCCTCCACGTGAAGGGCGCCCCCAGGTCCTGCGGCCCACCACGGCTGCCTCCTGCAAGTTCTTACCTTTGGGCTTATTGGCGTGGGCAGACTGAATGTTCTTCGTCAGCAGTCGTAACCGCTGCTCGCGGGCCTCCTGGAGTCGCAGGTACATCTCCCGCCACGACTCGTATTCTTCTGGTCTTTCTTCTTTAAAGTCTCGATGACAATGAACTTTCCATAATTGATCTGTTTCTTCAATTAATACCTAAATCAGAATCAGAATTTACTATAAACACTTTCTAAAATTGATTTGTATTGGAAAGGCAGAGTTATGCTCAGAAGGAGACAAAGAGAAAGATCTTCCATCTGCTGGTTCAATTCCCAAATGGCTGTAATGGCCGGAGCTCAGCTGATCCGAAGCCAGGAGCCAGGAGCTTCTTCCAGGTTTCCTATGCAGGTGCAGGCTCCCAAGGCTTTGGGTCATCTTCCACTGCTCTCCAAAGCTATGAGTAGGGAGCTGGATGGGAAGTGGAGAAGCCAGTACACAAATTGGCGCCCATATGGAATCCCACTGTTGGAGGCAGAGGATTAGCAATTGAGCCATTGTCCCAGGCCCTATAAGCTTTTTTTTTTTTTTTAAAGATTTATGTATTAAGGGTCTGGCACAGTAGCCTAGCGGCTAAAGTCCTTGCCTTGCATGCGCTGGGATCCCATATGGGTCCTGATGCTAATCCTGGTGGCCCCGCTTTCCATTCAGCTCCCTGCTTGTGGCCTAGGAAAGCAGTTGAGGACGGATCAATGCTTTGGGTCCCTGCATCTTTGAGGGAGACCTGGAGGAGGCTCTGGGCTCCTGGCTTCGGATTGGCTCAGCTCCTGCCATTGTGGCTACTTGGGGAGTAAATGGAAGAGCTACCTCTTTATCTCTCCTTCTCTCTGTATATCTGACTTTCAAATAAAAATTAAATAAATCTAAAAAAAAAAAAAAAAAACGATTTACAGAGAGAAAGATCTATCCACTGGTTCACTCCCCAAGTAGCTGCAATGGTCGGAGCTGAGCCAATCCAAAGCCAGGAGCCTGGAGCTTATTCTGGGTCTCCCATGCAGGTGCAGGGTCCCAAGGCTTTGCGCTGTCCTCGACTGCTTTCCCAGGCCACAAGCAGAAGCTGCAAGAGAAGTGGAACAGCCAGGATACAAACCAGCACTCATGAGATCCCAGTGCATGCAGATTGAGGACTTTAGCCACCAGGCTACCATGTCACCACCCTCCAGCCCCCTGCCCACTCTTAAAATAGCTTTTCCCAAGACCCCATGAAATGAAGCAGTGGTAAAGCTGTTGCCCATTCAAGTCCTGGCTTCTCCACCTCCCTTCCAGCTCCTCCACCTCCCGTCCAGTTCCTCCACCTCCCTTCCAGCTCCTCCACCTCCCTTCCAGTTTCCTTCCAGGAAAGCAGTGGCGGATGGCCCAAGCGCTTGGGTCCCTGCACCCACATGAGACCTAGAAGCTCCTGGTTTCTGGATTCATCCTAGCCCAGCCTTGGCCATTGCACCATTCATGGACCAGCAGATGGAAAAATCTCTCTATAACACTACCTTTCAAATAAAAATAGATTTTTTTTTAAAAGTTTTTTGCCCCCTTTAGTCGCCTAGGAGCGAGGCGGTTTTCCTAGGAAATCTTTCATCTTTACTATATTAAAATACCACAACTCTAAGAAAACACCCAATCACTGAATTTAAAGACCATAAGTGTGAGGTACCACGCCAGCAGCTCCTAGGCAGTTAGGAGACGTGACAACCCAAGAGCCAGGTTAGCACCTGTCTCCTCTAGGCACCAGGCCAGCATGGGGCTGGACGAAACCAAATCCGGGGCTTTCCCTGCATGACCCCGAATGGCAGGGGAGCCCACGCAGCAGGTTGTCGCAGGCTGCTCAGGATGAGAGCAGCCGCAGCCACAAAAGCTCGCCACATGGGAGGACTTCTGAAGAGTCCTCCCTGACAGTGCTCCTTCATCTCAGCAGACGCCTGCGTGTCAGTGCCAAGGGCTGTGTTCAGGGCTGCCACGACCCTCCCCAGCCCAAGGGAGGTGACAGGCGTGATCCCCACTCCCTCTGTTGGTTCCCACCTTGATTCTAGCCCAGCAGGCCCATGTAAGATGCCAGGAGCCGGTGTTAAAGGCACGCTTGCGGAAAGGCCCGGAGGCAAAGCGCTCGTGCCCGGACAGGGGTCGGACCTGGGTCTGCCCAGAGCGCCACCGGAAACACTCACGTGATTATACTCTTCTATGCGGTACAGCTGGTCAGGGGTGCATCTCTCCAGCACGGGCTCGAGCACAGAGTAAGGGACACCTCCCACTTCATAGATGGCTACAGAGAGACCAATGGAGAAGTCGATGTTGACTCACAGCCACGCCATGAGGCAGGAAGGTCCCGGCAGGGCGGAGCGTTGGCAGGAAGCCAGTCACTTACAATCGATGTTGTTTTTAAGAACTCGGATGCACTGCTGGTTCAAGGTCATCATCTTGGGGAGATAGGCACATTTGGAACCGGAATACACCTGCATCTTGGAATTCATTCTCCGGCCAGTAAACCCCGCTTCGTCCTCTTCCTGGGGGGACGAGAATGCTACAGGGCCAGAAGGATTGGAGAGGATGTCACAAGGAGCCCCCAGGTGACACAGCAAAAACTCCTTCCAGCCCCGTGACGGCCCCCACCTCCCTGCCCCTGCTCGAGGCCAGCGACTCTGTCAGCACATGCGGAGCCCATTTCCTTTCCAATCGATCAGCAATACGCTCCCGGCGCGTGCTCTCCGGCAGCTCTCTGCGTCAGGGCGTAAACCTCCCGTGTCTTGATGGTGGCCAACACCCCAGCACTTAGCTGTTGGGCACTGCTGAGTTATCTCAGGCTTTTGCTGATAAAACCACTTTTTTTTATTGTCACTAAGATGAAAATGACATATAACATAAGACACAGGGCTGCAAGCAGATCCCAGGCAGCCACCGGGATTTGCTGGGCACTCGTAAGTGAAAAGCCTGGATCTAAAAGCTTTCCTGGCAAAATCAGTTCTGAACCCACGAAATAAGAGTAGGAGGCGAAGGCTGTATTTTTCCCATTCACAGAATATAAATCTATGGTTCAAAAACGTCAACCAGCTAGCCAAGGTCACAGAACTTGGGGAGGCTGGTGCGGCAGCCCAGCAGAGGAGGCCGATGCCTGCACTGCCAGCACGCCCATTTAGTCCTGGCTGCTCCACTTTTTAGCTCCTTGTTGATGTGCCTGGGAGAGTAGCACAAGATGGCCCAAGTGCGTGGGTCCCTGTCACCCACATGGGAGACCTGGATGAAACTTGAAGCTCCTGGCTTTCTCTCACTCTCTTCTAACTCAGCCTTTGAACTATATCTTAGGGCCTGGCACGATAGCATAGTGGTTAAAGCTTCACCTTGAACGCGCCAGGATCCCATATGGGCACCAGTTCGTATCCCAGCAGCCCCACATCCTATCCAGCTCCCTGCTTGTGGCCTGGGAAAGCAGCTGAAGACGGCCCAAAGCCTTTGGACCCTGCACCTTCATGGAGACCTAGAGGAGGCTCTGGGCTCCTTGCTTAGGATTGGCGTAGCTATGGCCATTGTGGCCACTTGGGAAGTGAATCAAGGGATGGGAGATCTTTCTCTCTGTCTCTCCTCTCTGTATATCTGACTTTTCAATAGAAATAAATAAATCTTAAAAAAAAAAAAACAACTTCCCAATGAAAGTTTTGGATATATCTAGACAATGCGATGATGGTCTGATATTGTCTGTAGCAGCAACGTCGGGCCACACTTAAATAACAGACTCAAGGAATTGTAACTCCTTATGAAGGAATGTGCTGTTGTGACAATATGGGGAAAATCAGTTGGGGAGGAGTGCTGGGGGGAGGGGAATGCCAGACTACACAGAATTACCATAAAATTCAAAATTAAAAAAAAAAAATCACCAAAGTTGAGACTCAAAGGCAGGCTGTTGAACTCTTACACCTCTTACTACGTCACTGCTATAGAGCGAAAGGCGGAGAGGCCTTCCATCACCAGGTCACTACCCAAACCGCCACAACTTTGGACCAGGCCAAAGTCAGGAACTCCTTCTGGGTCTCCATGTGGGCACAGGGTTCAAACCTCCCCCCCCCGTGACACCAGCACCCCTAGGGGCAGCACTCTGCTTCCAGCTACTATTCTTCTTTCTAGTCCAGCTCCCTGTGAAGTGCCAGGAAAAGCAGCAGCTACTGACTCCATGCTTGGACCCCTGCACTCATGGGGGAGACCCAGAGAGGCTCTCGGCTCCTGGCTTCACACTGCCCCAGCTCTGGCCTTGGTCACTTTTTAGAGAATAGACCAGTGGACGGAAGATCTCCTTTTCTCTATAATTCTGCCTTTCAAATAAAAATCTTTATTTTTCCCCCGAAAGAAAAAAGTGCCCACATGGGATGCCTTTTTACCTAGTAGGTCACAGCGCCAGGCCCTCTCATTATTATTTATATGTTTACAAGGCTACAGTGTGTATGCCGACAGGCTTCAAACTGCCACTGGGGGCGGGAACCACATCCCATCTCCGTGCCAGCTGCTCTGCTTTCAAACCAGCCTCCTGCTAGGGTGTATCTTGGAAGGCAGCAAGCGATGGCCGTAGTGCCGGGTCCTGCCACCCACATGGGAGACATCGGAGTTCCCAGCTCCTGGCGTTAGCCTGGGCCCAGCCCTGGCTGCTGTAGGCCTTTGCGGAATGAACCAACAGATTGATTCTGCCACCACCCACCCGCATCACTCTGCCTCTCAAACAAACCTTTAAAAAATAAGAGGGCCTGGCCTATGGAATGATGAAATGAGATGCAATTAAAAACAAACAAACAAAGAGGGCCTGGCACAGTAGCCTAGTGGCTAAAGTCCTAGCCTTGCACATAATTGGATCCCATATGGATGCCAGCTCATGTCCTGGCGGTCCTGCTTCCCATCCAGCTCCCTGCTTGTGGCCTGGGGACCCTGCATCCACGTGGGAGACCCGGAAGAGGCTCCTGGCTTCTGGCTTTGGATTGGCACAGCTCTGGCCTTTGTGGCCACTTGGGGAGTGAACTAATGGACAGAAGATCTTCCTCTCTATCTCTCCTCCTCTATATCCGACTTTCCAATAAAATAAATAAATCTTCAAAAATATAAAAAAAAATTAAAAAAAACTAAGAATGACATAAAAACCTACCTTTTCGCTTTGGCTGGAAGGAAGAGATCAATTCGAGGGAAGGAAGTGGACGGTAATTGCTCTGGATCATGGGCAGGGGGAGCTCTGGCAACGCCGGCAGCGGGTCCGTGGGGACCTGCAGAGACGAGACCCGTGAATGGACAGCCCTTGGTGACAAGCACAGCTTCCCTTCCTGCCTGGTGCCCTGGCAGAGCGCACCGCACAGGTGCCCTCTGGCCAGCCGCAGTCCCAACTGACGTCACCAAGTCAGGGAACAAACGCAGACAGGCCCACCACACTGGGACCCCTCGGAAGGCTCTCGATCCAGGCACCATCCACCCCGCAGGGAGGAAGTTACTGCGAACAGCAGCTGCAGGGCCCTCAGGAGCCAGGCAAGATCGCAGGCTGGGCCTGGGGGGCAGGGTTACCTTTTTGGGCCTGGCTGAGTCGGCTGCGGCCGGCTGCAGCTTCTCCACCTTGCTTCCGTTCGCCTTGGGCAGCTTCTGCCCCGAGTTGAAGCTTTTACTAGTGCTTTTTGAGTCACTTTTTTTCAGTCCCTTCTCTCCAAGTGCTGCGGCTGAAGTTTTCACAGTCTTTTTCTTTTTCTTCTTGGGCTGGTCGTAGCTGAGGTATGACTCAAATGACATGGTGGGCTCCTCAAAGCCGTCCTCCGTGTCTGCCTCCTCGGCTTTGGGCCTCCGCTCCGACCTGCCGGCCTTCCCTTTGCCTTCCTGCGTCTTGAGGCCGTCAGACGCCTTCCCTTTGGCCTTGGCCGGGGGCTCGGTGTGGCCCTTGCCCGCGCCAGCGCCGTCTACACTCGGCTTTTTGTCTGATTTGGTTTTGTGCGAGTCTTTGTGCTTTGGCTTTTTAAGGTGGTTGTCCGAAGCCACCTCCGAGGCGGGCAAAACCTTCTTTTTGAGGCTGCCCCCGTCTCGCTCCTTCTCCTTATGGAGTCCACCCGCGGGTGGCTTCTCCCGCGTGCTGTCCCCCGAGGGCGGCCTCCGGCTGTGGGATTTCTCTCTGCTCCCCGAGTCTCCTCTGGCCTCCCCGGGACGCTTCTCCCTGTGGGAAGACTTGTGCTCCTTGCGGTGGCTGCCAGCCTCTCTCGCTGGGGGCTCAGCTGGCTGCCGCTCTGGGATCACTCCCAGTCTGTTCTGAAAGGCGTTGCTGTGAGCTCTGCCAGACTTCTGGGGTGGGATGATGGGCTCGGGGTCCTCATCTGGGGACCTGTAGTGGTCCAGGTACACCTGCTGCGGGCTGGCGGACGGCGGTGGGGACTGGACGTGGCCGTAATCGGAGGACTCATGGTCGGAGGAGTAGGCGGGTGATGCCCGATGGCAGCGCTTCCTCTCGTCCCTCCTCTCGTGGCTGGGGGCTGCCCGCTGAGGCCTCTCAGGCTCCGCCAGCTTCCGGTGCTTCTTCTGTCTGTGGTCGGGGCTGTAGGCCTGGCTCCCAGAGGCCCGCCAGGGCTCCTGCTCATCTCCCTCCTGTTCCCCATCCTCGTCCTCCTGGACAGCATCCCGGGGGCGCTTCCGTGAGCTACTCTTCTCATAGTCCTGGTCCTCGGGCTCATTGTTTCTAGAACAAAAGCAGAAGCACTGGTAAGCCTCATCATGCGCACGTCACAGACCCTGATGAAGATGACAGCAACAGCGGGGTCACCACAAGACTAGTGGGTCTGCCTGAAGACACATAATCAAGTAGGAAGACTGGGAGAGAACATATCTTCAACAGGTGGAAAGTCATGGGTGCATGAAAGTCATGGGTGGAAAGGCAGGGTCAGTATCCTGTGCACAATGCAACACTTGAAGACGCCTTTGAACCTAGGGCCACTTGTCAATTCAGCACCACCTGCGGTGCCAGCATCCCACAGGGGTGCTGTACGTGTTGCAGGCGTTCCACTTCTGACCCAGCTCCCTGCTGATGTGCCTGGGAAAGCAGCAGAGAATGGGCCAAGTGTTTGGACCCTCATACCCATATGGGAGACCTGGAGGAAGCTTCTGGCTCGTGGCTTCAACCTGACTCAGCCCTGGTCTTTGCAGCCATTTGGGGAGTGAGCCAGCAGCTAGATCTGTCTCTCCTTTACTTTCTGCAACTCTTTCAAATAAATCCTTAAATGCATTTATAAGAAATAGTGATTCATTCCATTTTTAAAGTATACCACAATCCATGATCACAGATTGCTTTCATAATTGAAGCAAAAAAAAAAAAAAAGCTTAAGATTTATTTATTTCTGTTGGAGTCAGATTTACAGATAGGAGAGACAGAGAGAGGATCTTCCATCTGCTGGCTCATTCCCCAAATGACCATAGTTGAGGTCTTTTGGGTCTTGCACATGAGTACAGGGGCCCAAGCATTTGGGTCATCCTCCACTGCTTTCCAGGAGCTAGCACAGAGCTAGACTGGAAATAGAGCAGCAAGGATTTGAACCAGTGCCCATAAGGGATGTTGGCACTACAGGCGGAGCATTAGCTTGCTATGCTACCACACCAGCCCCAAATTTTTAGTAGTTCTTTTTTTTTTTTTTTTAATTCTTTTCCCTATTTGAAAAGCAGAGAGACAGCACTCTTTCACCTAATGGTTCACCCACTAGTGCCCACGACAGTGAGGGCCGAGTCAAGTTGAAACTAGGCACGTGGAACTCAGTTCCAATCTCTCGGGTGACAGGGACCCCAGTGCATCTGCTGTTACCTGCTGCCTCCCAGACTGAGGATCAGTAGGAAGCTGGATCAGAAGCGAAGCTGGGACTCGAACTCAGACCCTCCAGGATGCTGGAGCCACTGTATCACACACTGTCCCCTCAAAGAGCTGTTTTCAATAAAGAGGAGGAATAACACGGAAAAGCACAAAGCTGAACAAACAGGGGCTCACCGTTCCACAGGAACCAGCTTCTTCCACTGGGCCACGAGGTCCCTGGCGAAGCCTCCGACCTGCTCGTGCTTCCGCAAGCTGTTCACCGTCTTCCCGACCCCGGTCTCCTGACACGTGAGAGGAGTGGCCAGAGGGTCACAGAACCGCACTCCCAGTGTCCTGCAGCATTTAGGCCTTCTGCCCTCAGCAGCCCACCCGCCGGTACTTCTGTCCCACAGCATGCCCCTGGGGGCCTGTATCTCCAGCTCTCTAAGGACTCTCAGGAGCACACAGCACACCAAGCTTCCACTGTGCCACCAGCAGTGACCACGGCAGGGGCAGAGCCTTGAGCGACAGGGTCAGTGAGCAGGGCAGGACCCAGTCCACAGCGACCGGGAGGCAAGGTATTGACCCACTTCACCGAAGAACAACCTGAAGGCACAGAACTCGGATTTCGATACAGGATTACTCAAGGCCAATTTTCCTTTAATTCATTTAAATTTTGGAAGAATAGTCATCCAACGCAAAATTCCCCACGTTAAAATGTGTAACTCAGTGGATTCCAGGACACCCACAATCCTGTGCAGCCACTGCCGCCATCTAATTCTAGAACATTTCCCCACCCTCCCCACCCCAGGTAACCCTGTCCTTCCCAATGCCCGCAGCCCTTGGCAAGCGTGACCCTGCTGTCTGCATGCTGCCCTGGAAGTTCCACACTAACAATCATGCAGTGTGTGCGGGCTTGGCTCTCGAAGGTCCCCTACACTCTCTCCAGTGGGAAGGGGATGGGATAGTTATATAATATTTAAAGATACGCAGCTCTTACCGCAAGGATGTCTACTGTAATTGGCAAGGTGGAGAGTTTCTTCAAATATTTCAAAAGCTGCAGAGGGAATAAAGCCAAGTGTAAGGTTTCCATAAAGCCACAGCCACCACTTGCTGGAACAGGGGCGGTACCTGCCCGGGGTTCGGGGCTTCCCAGTGCTGGGTTCTACTTCACAGTAACAGGCACTGATCACCCTTTTTATCATTGTGGAAACAGGTAGAGAAAAGTTACACTGTTTGGCCCGGACTGCCAGTGAGGCAGGACTCCCTGGGGTCTGCGGCTTTGGATTTTAAGCTCTCAGAAATGAGGCTACATGGGGGACCGATGTGACGACGCAGCGACATGGCTAAGGGGTCAAAACTACCCACTCTGATCAAACTCATGCCCCATCTCTCATGCTGCTCCATTGTGACAGAGAAATGACCAGAGAGGACACAGCTTTAGGAAAATCACCCTGGACCAGGGTGGGCTCAGCACCGTGCAGGGCACAGTGCTGGCTTTTCCGGAAGGGTTCACGGTCTCACTGTACTGTTTTCTCCTTACAAACGGAAAGCAATTTCACAAAGAGAGCTTTGCAGGAGACCACGCCCCATGCCTAGGTAGCTTGGAGGAACAGCAGTCTGGGGTGGGCCTCTTTTTCTCTCTAGGGTTCCTAAAACTAGGTCAAGATGGGTGAGGCGGGGCTGTACAGAGGCAATCTTTCTGGGCTGGCTGCTCGGCTTCTTGCCTGGGGACCTTGTGCAAGCCGAGTGTCCTCTCTGAACCCTGCAAACTCGCAACTAGAGCCTGTGTTGAAGTCACAGCGTATACGGTCCTCAGTCACCGTCCCGGGAACACTGTGAAGGCCCAACAGGGCCCATCATTAACCAACTACTTCACTCATCAATGGACAGCTTTCCAAATGTTTTACACCCATGGCGCTCAGGATTCCTGAGAGTTCCTGCCCGTCTGGTCTCTCTCCACCGAGAGCCATGATTGGCCACAGCTTTGTCCAGGAAGTGGTCACGTGTACATAAACACACCAGGAGCATCACAAAAAGCACAACAGTTCACAAAGCAATGAACTGTGGCTCCCTTTACATTTAAATATAAGAACAAAATCTGTTCTCTGGGAAAACAACAACAACAAACAAAAACACAACTTTATATCCTGAAGACAGATGTCATATACCAAGATCTGTTCCTTTTCCGTGTGTCGCCCAGGCTGTAACTGGCATGTCACGGCACTGGCAGGTATAGTGAGAAGACCATTTTTCTGGTCATTCTACTCCATTTATTACCAGACATGACTGCTAGGCAGGGCGATCAAATGACAGGGGATAATCTTGGTCGGGAACAAGCAAAAGGCCACGTAGTTTATCTAGTGAGTGTGAACCTCTAAGATTGGGGGAAAATGATCCACTGCTTGCGATTCTGTGACCACCATCCAGGGAATGCTTGTGTTCTCGCTGTCACCCAAGCTGTGGGTGCAGATGAATGTCAGTTCCTTTCAATCACTGCAAATGTTTGAAATAAACAGTTCTGTGCAATGCCATGCCCTGAAAGGGAAGGGGGAACACTCCCATCCACTGCGTGTTGGATACTATACCCAAGGTCCTTCCCGTGCCACCTCGTAGGAGCCTCATCTCTGTCCAGTGCGTGCTATTTTCTCCATTTCAGATACTGAGTTCAGTGGGTTAGCCAACTTAACCCAAACTGCCAAGAAGCATCCTAGAGACCACCACCAGGGCTAGCATTGTGGTGTAGCAGGCTGCCTGTGATGCCAGCATCCTATATGGGTGCCAATTTGGATCCCCACTGCTCCACTTCTAATCCAGCTCCCTGATGCACCCAGGGAAATCAGAGGACAATGGCACCAATGCCGGAGCCATCATGTAGGAGAATCAGATAAAGCCCTTTGCGTCTGGCTTTGGTCTGGCCAAGCCCCAGCCTGACAACCATTTGGGGAATGAGCCAGCAGAAGAAACATCTCCCAAATAAAACAAGTCTTCATTTAATAGTAATAATAGTAATGGAGTTGGCACAATGGCTCAGTGGCTAATCCTTTGCCAACAAGCTCCAGGATCCCATATGGGTGCCGATCTGTGTCCTGGCTGCTCTACTTCCCATCCAGCTCCCTGTTTATGGCCTGGGAAAGCAGCAGAGGATGGTCCTTTTAGGCCCTGCCCTCCATGTGGGAGACCTGGAAGAAGTTCCAGGCTCCTGGCTTCAAACCAGCTCAGCTCTGTTCATTGCGGCCACCGGCAAATGGGAAGATTGTTCTCTCATAAATCCACCTTAAATGATAAGTAAATAGCATTGTCTTTAGGAAGGCAGTGGTTCAGACAGCGCTGAGGATGAGCAGAACCAGTCAGAGCGGCTCCCTGTTACACGCACTGCTGGACACTTGATTGTATAAAGACAGCCACTGAGGCAACCAAGGACCCCAAGACTCCCACAAAGTGAACGTGCAAGGACAGGGCCACAGGCTTCTTGGGGCAGGCATTCATTCCAAGGTCAAGTGAGGCTGCAAGAGTCAGCGTCCCCTTCCTGTGTCGCCCCTGATCCCCAGTCAGCCAGGGACCACCTGAGCACACCAGTGGTAAACCCCAGGAGCCCAGTGGTTTCTGTGAATTGTGAGGAAACGACAGGGGAAACAGCAGGCAAAAGCATGGTGGGCATCCTGAAGGAGGTGCCCACATGCTATTGACTAAACCAGGGACTGGGGAGGGCTCACCGGAACAGAAATGTCTCTTGCACAGTTTTCTACCCAGAGCGAGCCAGTGCTGACCCCTGAGTCTTTATCTGCCATCAGTCTGTGTTCTGGGCACATTTTATTCAAAATGAAACCAAGGATCGAGTTTACTTTAATAGCCATGAAGGTCATTTCCAATTTAAGAGCAAGACCGGAAAACGAGTGACCCCAGAGGCAGGTGTCTGGCTCCGCTGGTGGTCAAGACCCAGCTTGAGGCTCACTACCCCAGCACCCAGGTTCAAGGCCACCCAGCAAGGTAGCAGGGGATGGCGCAGGTACTTGGGTCCCTGCCACCCTTGTGGGAGATGTGTACGGAGATTCTGACTTGCGCCTGGTCCAGCCCTGCCTGTTGCAGGCATTGGGAAGCGAATCAGTAGATGGAAGTTCTTCCTCTAGGTCTCTGCCTTCAAATAAAATGAAGTAAAAAAATCTGAAAGAAAGCAGTTGACCCTGACCAGTTTGATCACTTCTTCCCCCTAGTAAGCCCAAAGCCAGAGGAACTGACCGTGGAAACAGGGGGTTTAACACCCCAACATCTGTGGACACACAGATGCAGAATCCATGCGTTGGCTAATAACGGCTTTAGAGCAAGGTCTGATTGCAAACGCAACCCGGCTATGTAGTCGTCTGCCAATTTCAGGAAGAACCTGTGGGAGCTTGTTGGGTTAACAGAGGGTTGAGAGGGAGGCCAGCATGCCAGCTTTGCAATTTTTGCTCCCGCAGTGAGCTCCTGCTGAGCGCCAGCTAGCCGGCCTCTGCAGCAATGACCTCCCACCATTTCTCCCCAGGGCCCACTTCCCAACGCAAAACCCAAGTTCAGGGGAAGAGAAAGTCCAAGTCCTTAATAATAATAACAACAGTTCCTGTAAACCTACTGGCTGATTAGATATTACATGCATATCAACAACCAGTAGTGGGAAAACCACCAGAGATTACATGCAGCATTTGTATGTGTGCGCTCATTTAAATCGTAACAGACGCAGAGACCAAATGGGGGGCGGGCCTTAGCTAAGATCCCTTTAAGGTTTTTCCAAGTCAGTCCCGGATCTCCACGGAGTTCAGGAAAACAAACCAGTACTCAGAAATAATGACTATCCGTCACGTGGCCAACGAGATAAGCGCAGAGAAACCTGTCGCTGTGCCTGGCCACCGGGTCCTGAAGCCCCGGGCTCAGGACACAAGGTGACACAACCGGATTCTGTGAAGTGCCACCCCACACCTCGGGATCCCCGGCTCACATGGGCTCCCCGAACCGCGGGCCGCCGACCCAAGAGCAGCTCCCGGCGGCGTGTCCCACTCCGCCTCGGGCAAGGGGCAGTGCGGAGGACGGCGAGGGCCCCAGCGCCGCGGGCCCGACCTGGCAGCAGCAGGTGGGCCAGGGGCGGCATCGCCTCCCCCCGGGAGCGCAGCGCCCACCCTCCCGCCCCTCGCTGCCCTCGCCCGGGGTGCCAGGAGATGCCGCGCCGGACACCCGGGTCCCCGGAAGCCGCGATCCCGCGACAGCGGACGACAGCTCGCGGAAACTTGGGGCAGGAGTTTCGGAAGCTGCCAGCAACAGCCCAAGTTGGATCCAATTAAAGATGGTCGCCCACCCTCGCGGCGGCGCCGACGGGCAGCAGCTCCCGGGGCCGCAGTGGACGGGCGGCTTGGCGGGCGGCCGGAGGAGGCGTCGGCCTGGAGGGGGGCCTCGCCGGGCCGCGGGCGCGCCCCTGTCGGCCCCGGGGGGCAGCAGCTGGCGCGGGGAGCCGCTCGGGACCCGCGGGGCACGCGGCGCTCGCCCCGCTGCGCCCGCCGCCGGCAGCCCGGGCCGGGCCAGAGAGGCCCCTGCCAACCGGGCGACCCCAGCCCGCGAGCGCCGTGGGGCCTGGCTCGGGGTTCGAGTCCCCGGCGCGGGTCCTCCCCGCCCCCGGGGGGGGCGGCCCGTGACCGTTATTGGGGGTCGTGCGGTGCCAACGCCTGCTCGCCAACCCATCAGTCCGCCCGCTCACCTTCTTGGGGTCCGGGTTCGTGGCCAGGCGCGCCTGCAGCCGCTCCACGACTTGCAGCGCCGACTCCGCCGCCATCGCTGTCACTGGCGCGGCCTCCTCGCCGGAACTGGGCTCGCGTCGCGTCCTCGGGCCGCGGCTCCGCCCTCCGAGCATCCCCGGCGAGACGGAAGCGCGGCCGGCCCCTTCCGGGCCTCGGCTGGGGCGCGGGAGCCCCGGAGACCGCCTCGCGCCGGGCCGGGGGGCGGGGGGCACCGCCTGGGGACCGGGCCGCGGCCGATGGAGCCCGGAGCACAGCACCTGTCGGCCGACCCGCCGCGGGTGTGCGCAGGTGTCGGCCGAGGCCACCGCCCCGCGTCTGTGCTGCCTTCGCAGCCCGAGACAGCGCTCCCCATGGGTAGGGACGAGGAAACTGAGGCTCGCGGAGATACGAGGAACCGGCAAGTGGTCGCAGAACGGGGAGGAGGGAAAAACCGAATCATCTAAGAAGCCTGGGTCCCCTGGGGGCGGGGGGTTCAACCTGCTCTCTTTGGAGGTCCAAAGAGAAAAGCAGGTGTGTGGAGGGCATGTGCAAAGGAGACAAGGGAAAAACGAATGAACGCCGGCCGATGTCTCTGCTGACTGCGGCTCAGTGGCAGCCCGGGAGGCGGCCCATCGCCCTCCTGCGGGAAGCCCTCAAGGTGGTCGTAGCTCTGCGGGGGAACTGACCCCAGCGCCGGGGTGCATCTCATCGTGTTAAAGATCAACCCGACTGTTACCAGCTTCCTGGGCAACCGGGCGCACCTGACCGGAATCCCCTTCCCTCCTACCCTTGCTCGGCCTGCCTTCCCCGGCGGCTCGGGAAGCCCCATCCATGTCCCCTAGCTCCCCATGGCGGGGAGGCCCCTTTCCGGCTGCCTCAGCAACTTTCCCATACTGTGCCTCAGGAAATGGCTGCTTTCCCTGTGTGGCTGTCCAGTAATCCACCTGTTGCAAGTTAGGATCGGCGCCGCCCCGCCTTCCACAGACCGCGCCGGCACAGGCCTAGGGCGCGGGGGTAATGAAAAAGGCAACGCGGGGCAGGGGGGCCCAGTGTGCCTGGAGCCTGCGTGCCAGTGTGCGTCCTGGTCCCCCTCCCCTCCCCCGCCCAACTGCGTGGCAAATGCTCTCTCAGTTTAAATTCCTCCTTGTCTGGAGAATGTCGTGTGGGAGCAGAGAAACACAGGTTGAGCCAGGGAAAAGCAGAATTGCTGACTAACTGACCTGGCACATCCTTGAGACGCTGGCAATATTTTACAGACGTCACTCTGAAATATGGCGACAGCAGAAACAGAGATCCCACTGGCTGCCTGGGCTCCAGCACTTGTCCTGAGCCAGGGTTACCTGTTACACACTGTTACACTTGAAGATTTGACTTCTCTGATGAGCAGTTCATTACCTGTGTGTCATGCTCTGATGTAGTATTTGAAAGGCAGACAGCAGTCTCCCATCTGCTGGGTCCATCCCTAAATGCCAGCCACATTCAGCAATGTGCCAGGTTGATGAAGCCAGGAGTCTCCCACATGGATGACCCAGAGGGAATCAAACCCTGGCGCCGTCTTCTGTGGCCTCGCAGCTTGTGTCTGAGTAGGGAGCTGGAACAGAGAGCAGAGCTGGGACTCCAGTCACAGTTGGCATTGTACACAGCGTGTGGGCATTGCAGGTGGTTGTTGCAGCCACTACCCAGGCATCCAGCCCTCCTCTGATTAAAAGCAAAGTTTTCAACCACTTCCAAGACTGGTGTGTTCTGCATCTGTTCCCTGAAGGTTGATGGCTGTGAACTTAGGTTTGCCCAAGGCTGCGCAACAATGGAAGTCACAGGCCTGGCACAATGGTTCAATGGCTAAATCCTCACCATGCCAACGCCAGGATCCTATATGGGCACTGGGTCATGTCTCAGCGGCTCCTTTTCCCATCCAGCTCCCTGCCTGTGGCCTGAGAAAGCAGTTGAGGACAGCCTAAACCCTTGGGGCCCTGCACCCACAAGGGAGACCCAGAAAAAGCTCTGGGCTCCTGGCCTCAAGTCAGTTCAGCTCTGGCCATTGTGGCCACTTGGAGAGTGAACCAGCAGATGAAAGATCTTCCTCTCTGTATCTCTATAAATCTCACTTTCCAGTAAAAATAGATAATAAATAAGTAAATCTTAAAAAAAGAAAGCAATAGTGGAAAGGTGTTACCATTTAGAAAGGCCCAATTTCAGGTTGAGTAGCAGGACAACTTGAAACACAGAAGAGATAAACTCTGTGTGTGTCCACATAGAAACCTCAGATGGCATCCTGTAAACGTGTAACTTTCAGGTACCCATTACAATGTTGAAAAAGTTAAAATTATAAAAAACACATCATTTGTCCGTGCCCCCACCCCCATCATGCCCTAATCCCTAGGGCAGTAGAGGTTGTGTGGGCTGGAAGGGTGTGGTCAGAAAGGGCTCCTCCACCCCATCCAGCAGGTGGGTCACCTCTGTGGCAGTCTTAGGGACTCCACCCAGCTCTGGGCCCCAACCCTCCCTGCGCTAACCGTTTCTCAGAACTTGTGGAGGTGGTTTAAGGACATGGAGCAGGTAAACATTTTTAGAAAAATAATTTTTTTTTTCACTGCAAAGGCATATATATATGCAGAGAGAGGGAGAGGCAGTGAGACAACCTTCCATCTTCTGGTTCATTCCTCAAGTGGCCACAACAACTCGGGCTGAAGCCAGGAACCCGGAGCTTCTTCCAGGTTTCCCTCATGGGTGCAGGGTCCCAAGCAGGGAGCTGGTTAGGAAGTGGGGCTGCCCGGTACCCCTATGGAGTGCCACAGGCCACTGTGCTGCCCTGAGCAGGTACATTAAAACAAACCAACAGCAACTATTGGAAGAAAGGCACTGCTTCGGCAGAGTTTCTTGTACTTGGCTGTGAGGCAGGGCCTATGGGCCCTGTGTGGGCAGCTGTGTTGTGCACAGCTGTGGCTGCTGTCACCCTCCCCCAAGGGGCTCCTGCTTCTGAACTGACTGCATTCATCTTTGTTTCACTTCCCCCAGCATGGTGGCTTGGCTGTTTACTCAAGGATGGGATCTTTATGGAGCTCATACACTGAGCTCACCCTCTTCAAAGATAGTAACATAAGTGCCAGGTGAGGTGACCGCTCCAGGCCAGGATTGATGTCTGACAGCCTGAGTTCCCCCAGCTTTCAGGCCAGCTGTGGGACAGCTGCTGAAGCTGTCACCTGCAGTGCCAATATCATATAGACACTGGTTTGAGTTCCAGCTATTCCACTTCCAATCCAGCTCCTCGATAATGTGCCTAAGAAAACAGTAGAAGATGACCCAAGTGCTTGAGCCCCTGAATCCACTCAGGAGACCCCAAATACTTCTGGCTTTGGACCAAGTCAGTTCTGGTCACTACATACGTTTGAGAAATGAATCCTACCTTTCTCCCTCTGTAACTCTTCTTTTTCAGATAAATAATAATAATAAAAAGAATGCACACCTTTTAAGGATGTCTTGAAGATGGATAAAACTCCACAAAGTTAAAGCCATCAGAACTGACCCCTCTGAGACCCTTGGTCTGAAGCTGGAAGACTGAAACAGGCCCACAGAGAAGAGGCCACTGAGAATTTAAATTTTTCAGGGGGAGAAAATAGCTACCATGAAAAGTAACAAACTTTGATACTTTGAAGCCGCATGAATTTATAACAGTGTATCCACATGCCTCCCCTTGTTTGATGTTTGTTACAACACTAACAATTTGAACTGGCCTGTTGATAATTTCCCACAAGTGTAAGCTCCAAGAGCCATGGCTGTGGCCACAACAGGGCCTGGTCCCTACACACACAAAACACTCCTGCAGAGTTGAGTGGAAGCTTCGCCCCTCAGCATGCCAGCATCTCTGTGCAGATTAAGAGTTGGTGTATGAAGATACTGCCCAGGGCCCGGCGCAATAGTGTAATGGTTAAGATTGCGGCCACTTGGGGAGTGAACCATCGGACAGAAGACCTTCCTCTCTGTTTCTCCTTTCTGTTCATCTGCCTTTCCAATTAAAAAAAAAAAAAAAAAAAACTGCCCAGATGGCTTAATGGCTAAATCTGCACCTTGGTGGCACTAGGATCCTATATGGACACTTTTTTGTGTCCTGGCTATTCCGCTTCAAATCCAGTTTCCTGCTTGTGGCCTGAGAAAGCAAGAGAGGGTGGCCCAAAGTCTTGGGACCCTGCACCTGCGTGGGAGTCCTGGAAAAAGATCCTGGCTCCTGGCTCTGGCCACTGCTGCTGTTTAAGGGAGTGAACCAGTGGAGGGAAGAGCTTTCTGCTGCTTCTTCTCTCCTTAAAACCTGCCTTTCTAATAAAAAAAATAAGTCTTTAAAAAAAGGAAGGAAGAAAACACCTGGCAGAAGGCTACCCCTTAATAGGAAATTTTGGGCTCCTTAGCCTTCCATTGTAGAGATGAGGGAAAAGACATGGGAAGGCCCCAGGGGCTGCCTTGCCCTCTGGCCTGGAAACTGAGAAAGGTATTTCTTGGGCTTTGTTGGGAATGCCCTGGAGCATGAAGTCATTAGAAAGTGTGAGCTGAGCTCAGCCTGGAGTGAAGGGCCCCGAGGGAGGGAAGAGAAAGGAGAAAACCACTGACTGATGGGATGGATGAAGCTTTCATTCCCAATTCTGGCAGAACTTGGGCGTGTCCACAAGTTACCAGTTCTCCACAGGTCTCATTTTTTAAAAGAATTCTCCATAGTTCACAAATACAAAGTATCTTAGCATTGCTATCTTCTTTGTCCCACCCAAGCAGGAAACATAGGGTGAGGAGTGCAGACACAGGGGCCATGCTCAGAGGCTACCTGTCCTCAGACGCCCCGGGGAGGCCAAGAGTCAGAGTGCCAGAGCAACGGAAACACACGACCAAGAGAGCGAGCCCCTCCTCACGGTGAGCCTTTATGGGGGCTTGTGAGGGGAGTGGTTATACAGGTGATAGGTGAGAGTCACAGGTGGGCAGGAGGGAACACCTAGGTGGTGGGGGAGTGACTTCCAAGCTCATGACCCTGAACTAGCTGCCTACGTCACCACAAGGCCTTTCATCTGCTGGTTCACTCCCCAAACAGCCACAACAGCCAAGGCTGGATC